AGCATTTCACCACTTCGAACTAGAACTAACCGTCACACACCGGTTTGGTCAGGCCACGCTGGCTATCTTGAATGTTTACCAGCGCCACCTCCGAAGTACCCGAGTCACCGTCACCTGCCGTCGTGCCGTTTTGTTTACGCAGCCCACATGGTGTTTGGCTAGCCTAGTGTGTGGTTGTGCAATCGTGTGAAGTGTGCTCTGCAATGCTAAGCCTAGGGGCTTCGATGCTCGTCAACAAACTCCTTTGTTCACATCGTGAGAATTTCGCATGTTTGCGATGGCCCCCACTCCGCCTTCGTCGTCCTCGCAGATGGCATTGAAGCGCGGAAAACAGTACTGTCGGTTAACAATGTAGAAGAAAGCCGCCATTATTAAGTTAAGAGTGGCTGATCGCAGGTTGACGTGAGCAAGGAGTTCGGCATTTCTAAGCAAACAGTTTCCGATTTCCTCAGGAACAAAGACAAGATCTTGGAAGCCGCCAAAAAATCGTCTGGTGCCCAAAAGATGAATGCAAGCCAAGGTGTTCATCCAAAGCTTGAGGACGCTCTCATCGTGTGGCTTAATTTAATGATTACCAAGTGGTTGCCAGTCTCGGGCTGCATCTTGAAACAAAAAGCGGAAACTCTCGCGCTTCGAATAGACATCACGGATTTTAACTTCAGTGATGGATCGCTGAGAAACTTTAAGCATCGGAATGACCTCAAGTTCAAGAAGATGTGTGGCGAAAGCGGCGCCGTCGACAGTGCAGTTATTTCAGTTTCAGTTTCAGTTTTATTGTGCATTTTCTTCACAGAGTTGCGAAAAAGAAAACGCAAGGATAAGAGCGAAAAGCTGCTATGTTAGCAACTTGACGAGGCTCCTACCCCTTTTCACTTGGCATTACGAAAATCCGCAGAGCACAAACATGACAAAACAATTTGACGTCGATTTTCAAAACTTCATGAAATTAGGAAATAAAAAGAAAATACATCAAAATTACATCAGTTTCAGGTTTACATAAAATAAGCAAACCACAAAAGAGAGAAAAACAACAAATAACAAAAGAAAACAGCGTACAGTCAATTACGAAACAATGTACACGTTGCTAAACGGCTACCAAAGTATTACAAAATGATTATACAACGTTTACAACACTGGGTATGCGAAAAGCACAAGTTTTGATGCACAAGGGAAACACTGACGAGTGAAATGTTGCATGTTTTACTCGTAAAAAAAGCAACGAAAAAAATGTCAAAGAAAGCAAACATCATAGGATGCCATGTTACACACGAGCACTATTATAGTGTGTCTCTTTTACATATAGTATTGTAGCCGGACAACTAGAAGAAGCTGAACTACGCACCGCCATTTTCGATGAGAAGGTTCTTAAGTGGTTTTTTATGTATATTAAATATGTCGATGTTTTTATTTTCAAACATGTTAAAACAAGCTGGAATACAGTGTTCAACTCTTCTCAAACCGTGATTAGTTTGCGAATAAGGAACGAACCTGGAAGGTTTTTTCCGAATGTCATAATAGGATTGTGTACTTTTTCTGAGGTTACACAGTTTAAGAAAACAAGCGTTGTTTGATAGCAAGCTTTGTTTGTATTTCATAATAAGGTTGAAGCTGTGTATGTGATCGATCGGTAAAATCTTATATTCTCTGAATAAATGACTTGTATGTGCGTCGTATGGTACGTTTGCAATATGACGAATCGCTTTTTTCTGCAGTAAAAATATTTTGTTCCGATTTGCTTTAGATGTATCTGCCCACACTAGACTACAATAGTTTATGTGAGATGAAAACAACGTATTATAGAGTAAAAGTTTAATGTTTGCTGGAAGTGTCTGTCAAAGTTTAGAGAGAGCACCACACGTCCTAGCTATATTTCTAGTTACTTTATTACTGTGTTCGTCCCAATTAAGATTTTCGTTAAAAATTACTCCTAATGATGAAACTTCTTTGACAACCTCAATTTTTTCGGGCCCTAGATATATATCCAAACAACGACAGACAGCCTTCTGAACCGGTGCGAATACCACAGCTTTGGATTTTTTGTGCTGATCATTAAACAATTTGCAGTACTCCATATGAAGATGTCGTTAAGAATGTTGTTGGCTGAGTCTGCAAGCTTACCTAAATCATTACCATGAAAAAATATACTAGTGTCATCTGCATAAATTATAAAGTCCACATATTTGCTGACACTTGTTATGTCGTTTATATAAATATTAAACAGTAGGGGCCCTAATATGCTGCCCTGAGGTACACCTGACGTTATGGTTAGTAGGAAGGATTGGCTGTCATTTATAACTATAGATTGCTTTCTTTGTGATAAATAAGATTTCAGAAAGTTAAGTGGGGTTCCCCACTTGACTTTTGCAGTACCGCAGTAGAAAACTCCAGTCTTTGTTGCAGCAGTTCTCTGCTGACAACATTTTAAACTGCGACGAAACTGGCTTGTTTTACAAGCTGCTGCCAGAAAGAACACTCGCTTTTGCTGGTGACGCATGCCGTGGTGGTAAGCATAGCTAAGAATGGCTGACCGTTCTTGTCGGCAGCAACATGTCTGGCAGCGAGAAACTTCCTTTGTTAGTAATCGGGAAGTCCAAGAGCCCGACATGTTTTAAAGGGGCAATGCTGCCAGTGTTATACAAAGCCATCAAAAAGGCATGGGTAACGCAGCAGTTGTTCGAGAGTTACGTCCGCAGGTTGGACAGGAAGTTTGAACAACAGAACAGACGTGTTCTGTTCTTCGTTGACAACTGCGCTGCTCATGGTCACATCAATAACTTGAAGGCTATCCAGCTGGAATTCATGCCGCCCAACACGACTGCGATCTTCCAACCGATGGACCAAGGCGTTATCTGTACTCTGAAACTTTTGTACCGTTCACGTATACTCAACCGCATGGTGCTATGCTCGGAAAACGGGAAAGGCTACAGCGTTGACCTTCGGTCTCCTGTCGGAATGCTTGCGGACGCATGGAAGGCAGTAACGCAAGACACGCTTCGCAACTGCTTTCGCCATGCGTGCTTTGTACTTGACACAGAGGCAGCAGACCTGCCTGAAGAAAGCGACAGCGTCACTGACTTGTGCCCTCTCATGGACGATATTATCAACAACCTCCGCTCTGCTGGTGCTTTTATGCCCACGGAAATAACTTTTGAGCGGTTCGTTGACCCTGACAACAAGTTCGACTTCTGCGCAGAGCTAATGGACGACGAAATAGTCAGTCACGTTATGGCGGATTTAGACTGCTCCGATGTCGAAAAAGAGGAACCAACGCCTGCGCTATATACGACCGCTGAATCGATGCGAGCATTGATGACGCTGTTATCGGCGTACAGTGATGACATGACCCTTGCTCAGATCGAGGCGAATGTGATCACATGCAAGCGGAACGCCGTTCAAACAAGGATCAACAAGTTTCAAGCCACTGCAGCTCTAACACCCACTGCCTTGATGGCTTTTTAACGGCTCTTTGCTTTGGCAGAGTTCCGGAAGTCTGGTACTTCGATCTTGACCCTCTTCATCCGAGAAATATCAATGAAATGGTGCGTTTTTTGCTTGCATTGAAAAATATTAGCAAAATGATGCGTTTTTCTTGCTTGCATTGAAAATTATCAGTAAAATAATGAGTTTTTTTTTTTTTGTTGCTTGCATTCATTTTTTCTGACTGCCCGAATTTTCGGGCGGTTTTTCGCTCCCTAGAGGGTCCGAAAAAAATCGGCAGTTGACTGTATTAGCAAGCGTGCACTTTTTTGCTTTAACCCGTACCGATCGTACCGATAATCACATGTTGAAGAACTTCACACTAAAGTGCTTGGCAGGGGCCTGGTTCACGTTTCCTTCAGCAAATTTTATAGCAGCGACTTCGAATTTTGCTGTACATGTAATTATTGTAGCCCGTCACAAGAGAACAGTGAAAACGCTATGGATGGATGGCAAAAACATAAACTTCCGAAATGAACCAAGCGTGTGTTGCAGCGAAGCACAGACGCAGAGATTGAGGGGAACAGTTTGCGCATGCCTCTGGTGCAGGAAGTTGTTCGTTCCGTGCCGAAAACGTGCATTCTCATGATGGTAGAGATGGGGAGATAGAGGGAAGCAAACGCTCGAGCAGTTCTGGCGACCTGTCAATAGGTTTGAGTGTTTGGGTTCATTATTCTAGGGACCCTAGTTTGGGGGAAATCCTCGACAGAAGGAACTTAGCACTCGCAGCCCTTTTGACTGTTTGGCTCACCTGTTTGGCGAGGTGTGCATCTTGTACGCTCTTTAAAAGCATCCAAAGGTCCAAAGTTTCTTTGTGTGTGCGCCGGCGGTCTGGCTCGGACAGATGTGAGAGTGCAAAATATGCCAGTAAATAATTTTTTTTTTCATGAAGTTAGCAAAATATTAGAAGTGCACAAATTATGTGAGTAAATACGGTATGTTCAGTTTATTGACGTGAGAGTGCACTGCAGCAATAGAAGCGATTCAAGCTCCGAACGCTCACTTAAGTGACAGTGCTGTGTCATGACCTTTGACAGGACTTGCCCAGTGCATTTTCATTTTTTTTACTGATGTAATTTGAAGCATGTTTCTGATAGTGCGTGTGTTGCAAGTTAGTTAGGACATTGCTGTATTAGGCATTGCCACCCGATTTTCTAGCCTGGCATTTTCAGGTCGCCATCTGCTCCTGCTGTCATTAGCATGTGGTATAGCTAACCAGCCTCTGGCGTGTCGATTGTTGTGTCGTGCAACATGTGCCTTCTTAAAGGCCTCTCCTGGCTTTGCTTTAAAATATTAAAAAAAAATCATATTTTGTACAAAACATGAGCGGAGAAAAGCAAGTGGTGCAATTTTCGCAAGGCTATATCTTGCAATGCTAAATCCGCTAGAAGCTTACGACATCCTCACCATTGTCTTGGCCCCTTTGTGTGAAGAAAATGGCACTCCTCATGTGCACTCGAGTGACATGAACACCAAGAACAATCTCTCATATCATGCAAATTGTACAATACCGCTGCTCGCAGGACACCGAGTATGCCCTGGTCGAGATCTCCAATCGGAAAGTGAGCTACCGCGATGCCAATGACGTGCAGCAGACGGACAGCTTTTTCGTCGGCATCCTCACCATCCACGACACGGCACCGGCATTTGTCGAACACAACCTGCTCGCCCTGGGCTTCTACATCCTCCTGACGAGCCAGCGCGAGCTCTTTCCCAAATTCTCCTCAACCAGTGCACCCCCCGGCAGCAGCACCTCTGGAAACGCCGATGGCACTGGTGACGGCACCGAGGGCTGCTTCCGGCCCGTCCGTGCACTGGGAGGCACGCCTGGAACATCACAGCCCACTAGCGCAGTGCCGTCGAGGCGAAGCTCGTGCGTGGTGCCTCCTACTGTGCCGGTGGAGCGCGTGCGAACGCTGACGACGCTGCCCCAACAGCTGGTTCTTTCGCCAGAAGACTTAACGAGCGGTGGCAGTATCGGGGTGGTGGCTGCAACCGCCAGCATTCCTTCCGTGGCATCATCAAGTTCACTGGGAAGCAGCAATGCAGGTGGCACAAGGTGAGTGAATCATAAAGCAGGAGATTGGAGATATGTTAGGATTTCGTCCTCGAAAAGCAACCACAAACAGCGCAAACTACAGGCAGCCAACGTGGTTCGCTGCCTGTAGTTTGCACTATCAGTCAATCGGAGCATGCACACTAAACCTGAACCACACTATACGGTGTATGAAAAAAAAATTATTTTTCTTACACTGTGCCATGGGGGACGGTTCATTATGTGGGAGAAAAAAAGTCACGGGAGTTATAACAGCAAACATTTCGCATGACGGTATTAAACTTGCTGTTCAAATGCTGCTTGTCTTCAATTCAGTGGCAGGACTATGAAGCCTCTAAACCTATCGGAGGACTTCGCTCCCCACAAGGAGAAACTGTCCTTGTTTTGGCCTGTGAAATGTGCAACGAACCTTTTTGTAGCTTGAAGCTGTTCTTGTTTGCCCCAGTAACGAGTGCGCACGGATAGACGCTGTATTGTCGTCCAGCCACTCGATTTCTATTCTGCAGCACAAGCTCGACTAACTTTGAATTTAAAGCCAGCCGTGTTGCTAGCGTGCCGGCCGATCGTGCCCTACTCAGCAGCTGTCCAGTGAAGTTCACTTCGACGAATTCGACAAAAACACAGAATCTGATAATGGCGCGTGCATGTGGTGGGTGCGTGGCGTGCAGTCGACGCGATTGCGGGAGTGGTTGTGCCTTGTTTTTCGCTTTGTTTTGTGCCACTGTGCTTGCGTGGTGCTAAAAGCAATGGGGTTTCTTCTGGGTTCGACAGATGGCGCTATGCCCCAAAAGCTCGACTTCATTTTCAATCAATGTCATCTGCGTTCGCACTGCTTGCAACTGTTTTAGCATGGCTGTTAAACTATGTTTTGACTTTTATTGCGTCGTTATTTCAGGATATAATGGTGTGTTTTAACGTTGTTTCAATCATCAATGGCACTGGCTATCACACCAAAATAAAATGAACAGATTTATTAAAAAATATATATATATTTCGAGAATCAAGAAAGGGGGGGTTCATTACGTGAGTACATACGTATGTGCACCGCTGTGATGGTACAGCAGTGTTTTGGCCAAGTTACTTCGTAATTGTTACAGAATCTTCTAATGCTTGTTTCTTTGAATGCTACCACAGGTATACATAGTGTGACTGTGTGTCTATGAAACCAACAGCTTATTTGTACCATACTTGATGTGACAGATAGACAAAACAAAGTTAACTACAGCTTTATTTTTCATTACTGAGTTAACTGGCGGAACATGGGAGAGGACGTAGTCAGGCTGATGATGATGATGAATTTTTCATTAATTGTTTTTTCTGCATTCAGGTCGAGGAAGACGTCGTTCCGAGGAATCTGTGAAGAGGAAGTGGCCTATCTCGGCTATTACAGCTCCCACGAAACACTCATGCAAAAGGTAGTTTTAACTGTTTTACGTGTACTCTGTGTGCTGTTGCAAGTTTGCATTCTAGCGAACTGCACAGCGGACGGGACACACAAAAAAAAGAACTAAACAAGACGTACTTTTTTTTTTGTGCCCCGTCTGCTGCGCAGTTTGCTAGAAGATCAATGAATCCTTACCAACTCGCTCAGCTTTCCACGCCTGTCATAAGTTTTTGCGTAAGCGCTCGATTTACTTTGTCCGGCTGTCACAATAGAGGACATGAAAAATAATTTTTTACCTTGTTTTCGGATACGAGGACGTTAATGCATGCAGACCAGAAAAATTAAATTTCGCAAATAAGAAAACTTACTAGCTACTGTAGACTTTTAAAGCTTGCTTTCGCTTATTCTTGCTCTTTTGTTCAGCAGTAAACCAATGAAAGTTGAAGGTTATATTGCTTTCGCTATTAGCCTGACATACTGTGTGAATTGGTTGATGCCTGTGGGTAAAATGATCCTTCGCAATGATGGGACTGTGAGTTAAAGTGTTCGGCAAGCTGTTCTGGCTATGCGTACAAGTTCAATACATGAGTGAGTTTGGCTCGATCGTTCATTTTAGTTTCATTCTTGCCTGCTATGTAATCATTTATGCCCAGATAGACCTGAAAAAGGTTTTTCCATTTCATCCTGATTAACAATAACAATTAGCTCCCTTATGCTTTGTTATTGACGGTGTTTTAATACCTGAATACAAATTTAGTAGTAGCTTGGAGAATAGTGCAAATTGTGACTCGAATATCTATTATTCTGTTTTATCGCATAGTCACCACTATCATCACAGGCCTGTTGAGACAACACAACCAGGCAAATGCTGTGGTCATCTGCATGCGAATTGTTAGGGAGCACTAGAGTCATCACGGGAGCAGACATGTCAAATTGTATGTTATTGCATTTCGTGGGCGTCTGTAGTAGGCCGAAAAAATAAGTAATTAATCAATATACTAAACGTACAAAGTGTCTAATCGGATGTTTTACAAACCGACATAAATTTTCATCGGGATTTTCGCACAGCTTGATTGCTTCAAAAATTAGGTAATTAAAGTGGCCTAGTTAAGCAATTGATCAAAAGACAACAGTAGTATAACTCACTCCAGGACAATAGTAAGCAACATGCATTAGGTCGTGTTGTCACTGCAGTGCATTGACATATTTTTCGATTCTGGCTGAATATAGCTGGGGCACCCTGCATAGTGAAAAAATTTGCACAATTGTACCCCTTCACCCTTCATTCCACAAGTCGAGCAGACGAACAGAAACCGTGCTCGCCACTGCATTCCATGCAGAAGAAATAATATTGTACGAAACTCGTAGAAACTGAGGCCCATGAAGATAAAATTTCTTACGTCTTATTATTGATCTGATGTTCGGCTTTTTTTTTTTATTCGATTCGGTATTTGCATACCCCTATTCATGCGCCTTTTTTTTACAGTTGTAGCAAAAAAAAGCATTTTTTTTTTTCATTATTTTGCTTCTTATTCTAATGTACAGTTCAGAGAAAGCCTAGGAGTTCAGCTGGGACTGTCACCTTTACCATGACCAGATCATCAGGAAGTTCGCAATAACCATTTTGGTACTCCAAGAGGACTTTTTCCTTGGCCTAGTTAGTTTTTACTGCACGGCATACTTGCCACTATAGAAGGCTTGGCTGCCCATGCTCTTCCGTAATTGTGTTCCTTCTTTTTTGCTTTTTGGGAGAAATATGTCGCGCAGTATTTTACTATTGTGCTTTAAAGACAGGTAAATTGCGAGTATAATTTCATTGGCTCGCAGGTAATGTCCGAGCAGGCAACAGCCGTAGCCGACCACCTGCGCGAAGTGGTGGCACAGGCCTCGCTGCACTGCCGGCGTGACTACCTCTGGAAGTGCCTGCTGTGGCGTCACAAGAACTCCGATGACACCGGCACCTCAGTTCGAGAGAACACTGTAAGTGCACTAATCGACGCACAACTGCGTGAAGTACGAAATAATAGCAAGTTGTGAATTTATCAATTTGTAAAGAATGTCCGTCATAGCTATGCAGATGTGTAGGCCTGTACGAATAGTGATTTGTAGGTTCAAACTGAATTGTGATTTCGGTTGGATAATTTCTAATCAAATTCGAATACAGTCGAAACCCGCAGTAACGAAACCCCGCGAGTACGAAATCCCCGTGGCAACGAAATATTTCCGTATCCCCGGCGAACGTTCACAGAAGCCCATGTGTTATTTATCTCGTAGCGATCCCACATTAGCGAATCCCACATTAACACAGCGATCCCACATTAGCAAATCCCACATTAGCACAGCGATCCCACATTAACGAATTTTTCACCGCGGTGTGGGCCTTATTTTACCCTCCCGCCAAAGGTTAACTGTCGAAAATATGCTCGTATGCGTGTTATGCGCACTCAAAATTTATAAACGTCTTCTTTTGCTGCGCTAGCGTGGGTACCGCCATTTTTGTTTACTTAAATCGGCGATGGGGTTTGTGTCCGGCAACATGCCTGGCCACACTGCAGCAGGCGATGGCAAATGATCATGCTGCTATGGCAAATGATCAGGCGATGGCAAATGATCATGTGGGCTTCACCATCACCGTGCAAGCATCTCGCACGGATTGCGCTTCGGCCTCACCAGACGAAAATTTGGACGAAAATGCACATGACGGCGAGAGTGGTGGCAGCGCAGTGCCTCTATCCTTGACCAACACCTGGGAGGAACTTCGAGCCATCGACATCGGCATCCCAGATTAACTCACCATTGATGCGTTCGTTCACTCCGATGACGTAGTTGTGTACGAGGAAGTGACCGACGAGGCCATTATCGAAAGTGTGCGCGAAGCTGACGGCACCGAGGACCAAGAAGAGACGCATGCGGATTGTTTTGGATGCGTTGGACACCCTTCGTTGGACACCGAGGACCAAGAAGAGAACCAGCGGGTTGTTTTGGATGCGCTGGACACCCTTCGCTCGTTCTTCGGCGCACATGACGACGACATAGCAATGGGCCACTTTTTCCTTTTGTATGGCAAAGGTCGGCAAAATAAGTTTACCGACTTCTGGCAATAAATTTTCCTTCTGCTGGCTGTATCACTGTTTTTATGTTTCACGCTCGTGGCAACGAACTTTTCATGAAAACTAAATTTTTCGGTTTCCCCAGCGATTTCGTTATAGCGGGTATTCGACTGTAGTATATATTACACTCTTAGTAAACGGAACCTGAAGGGACCGGGAAAATATGTTTCATTTAACAGGAGTTCCGTTTACTGAGAGGTGAACATGGGTGCAGGATACAAGCCTTAAACCAAGCATTGCAGAGCCAATATTTCCGTTTAAGCAGTAGTTCCGTTTAACAGATTTCTGTTTACTGAGAGTCTTGTTCTGTATTGCATAATATAAAAAAGGGGGTATATTTGTCATGACCTTACTATCCTACACAATATTTTTAAAATATTGAAATAAGGCCCGTGCTAATGCCATTTTTCTTGCATCAAAGAAAGTGGAAACAGCTTTGAATAGTAGCAGGATTTTACTTTCAGTAGAATGCAATGAACAGCCTGTAAAACTTGTTACTTTTTCAAGTTTGCTATACTTAGTGGGGTCTCGAAATGGCGAGCGAGCGCCATGCCACGCTCTTGGAGTGAACGGACACAGTCGACACGGTCAGTACAAACCAAACAATACACTTACATTTATTTAACTAATTTAGACGGCGATATCGTCCGCCGAATGATACATCAATCGTAATCAGCCCACTAAGACATCCTTACTCACAATTTCCATACAATCCAAAACATGACAAACACACAATAACACACCCAAGGCGGCGTCGCCAACGCTCGACTTATCACGAGGGCCCCCGACGTGCAGGCCTGTGGTGCCACGCGCCGAGGACCCGCGCTAGAGACAACAACCATGATGATGATGACAGTGGTAATCAACGCCACCTACCACCCTGTTGTTGTAACCCGAAATGCGGCTTTTGGGCGAGGCACGTGCGCCACAAGGGCAAACATCTTTACAGAGGGTGTCAGCACCCCGACAACTTAAAGAGTATAAGTCAGTATAAAGAGCCTTTAAACCTAAAAAATGAAACGATGTGAGGGTAATATTTTCATTTAACCATCAAATGGGGCTCTGTGGCAATGTGGATTTCCTCTGAAGGTGTGTTTTCACCGATTAGCACTAGTTCATTGCAGTGGAACCATTTTTACAGGGCGTTACATGCAGACTAATATGAGTACTTCACTTTTACAAGTAGGTTACAAGTGAATGTTGGAATAATACGAAATTTTAAGCAATTTAAATTCGATTCAAAGCAAATTCAAGCACTGGATTATTGATTCAAATATTCGAAGCATACGAATGTTCACAATAGCCTATAAATGTGCAGTGCTCTGTAACCTTCGCTTTTTGTTTTTCTTTTTTTTTTTTCACCAATGCTTTCATTTGTTGTCTCTCGCCAACAGGCACGCCTTACAGTCACATTTTGCCGAGCTCACTGAATTGCTGAGCTACGTGAAGACTGTGCCACTGGACCAGGTCGACCCGCAACTGGGACCTCTGCTTGCCTCTCACTATGGCTGGTACCGGGGCCTGCTGCGTGTGCTTATGCAGCGCTACGCCGACTGCCACTGCCTCTTCGTCAGCCCCGACAACAACGTGCACTACCTGGTGGGTCTTTGCGTACAAAGTCACTCAGTAACGACGCAAACCTAAACAGCACAAACCATAATACAATAGCAACTGCAAACGAAATCGCCCTGTTCAGCGGTTCAAATTGTAGAATTGCACGAAGCAGAAGAAACAGAGATTACTAGGCCTGTGAGAATAGTGAATCTTAGGTTTGCAGCAAAATTCGAATCGAGTTCAAATGGTATATATACCAGGTATTATAAATAAAAAACTGGGCATATTTTTTATGGCCCAACTAATTTGCCAAATATAGTTTTTTTAATTAAACAAGGCCTGTGTTTTTTGCTTCAAAGAAAGTGGAAACAACTTTGAATAGTAGCAGGACTTGACTTTTGGTAGAATGCCAGTGATTACCTGTAAAATATGTTGCATTTTAAAATTTGCTATGCTTAGAGCATACAAGCCAGTATAAAAAGCTTTTAAACTTTTAAAAAATGATCATTAATGTGAAAATAATGTGTTCAGTTAAACAGGCAGACTGGTCTTAGGCATTTTTTGTTTATTTCTTCAGTGATCTTGATCAAACTGCACAGAATTATGCAGCTTTTTCCGCTAATTTCAAATATTCAAATAGTTTTCCTGTAACTCATCTTGTTCCTGAGATAACTCAAGTTCACCCCCTATTATTTATGACCGCCATAGAAAAACAAGTGCTTAATTAAAAGTGACATTTAGAATATTCTGACATAGACTAATGACTATAGATTGAAAACATGCAAGATTTTTTTTTCTTGTTTTTAGGCCTTTCTTGGTTATCTTACAGCAGAATGAACTATTCATATTCAAAAGCCGTCAATGCCATTAACCCGCACAATGTTTTCTTCCGCGGCAATCGCACTCGTTAGACGCGCTGCTGCTCTCAGTGCACATCCGAGTTCTCTCGCTGTGACTACACTCAAGTCCCATTTCTGGGGCCTGTACACAACCTTGAAGTCCGTAGCTGGCATCTTCAGAAACGGTGCGTGTTTCTTTCACACCGGCGCTTTCCCCCACTTTACTTCGCCCGCTCCGTGCGTCTTGTGGCCGTCGTTGTCGACCTGCGTCTCGGAAGGCTTACTCTTGGCGTTGTCACCATGCAGAGTCTTCCTAAAACGGTCCTGTGCCTTCAGCACTAGAGCCCACTCTCCCCGCTTCAAAATCTTCGGGTGTTATAGTCTCCCTTTCGACGTAGTATTCCATCTCCAGCCTCACAAGGCCCACGGTCACCAGGCGCAAGCCGAACACCCGGCGTCGCGGCCCAGGCTTTGCCTAAGAGAGAGGCCTAGCCTTGCTACCGCGCGGTTGATAGGAAAATCTTGGAAACTCCTAAAACGGAGACAAACTTGCCTACACAAGTGGTTTCTGTAGGTGCAGGGCAACCCCCTGAAGACGAGCCCACTATCAGCAAGTGCCAAAACAAATCTCGTCTGCTGATAGTTGGTCACCGGGCCGGAGCTGATGCAAAGCACATCGGCACAGCGTCTCACTCCAGCCGCGTCTCTCCTTAGCGCCGAACCGGTCTGAGGACACCCTTGTTCACGATTGACAGAAAGGAAGGAAATCATCCCGTTCAAACTGCACACCCTTGCTTAGACTGTGTTTTGAAGTGGTTGTTGGGTTCACAGCCACCGAAAGGATTTCAGTGCTGATGACTGTCATAACAAGGGTTACATGCGGATCGATGTACATTTATTTGTTCATTTTGAATGCTTCGAAATTTTTAACAATCTTTTCAAACAAACCTAGAAAACAATTCAAACAAGTCTAGGAATTATATGCTAAACTTGCAAAGAAAATATATGCATGATAGAACACATATTTTTTTACTGCAATTCACCGAGGCTCGCTATTACGTGCAACCACTTCGAAAGGCTCGTCGAGTCACCTTCTTAAGACTGTCCAGTATTCTCACAGGGAGGCTCGATCTCCCCGCTTTGACCTGACATTTCACCTGACCAAATTTTCACCTGACATTATCGATTGGAATGAGGATGGGGTAAGTGGCCATGGTGACGTGACTCCTGAGCATGAAGTCACATGTGCAATTTCCAGCATGGTGGACATATTTTAATGATGATTGGGGGGAAAGGAAAGGCTGTTGTAGTTTCTATTTAGGTGTATTTATGCTTGTAAAGAAAAGCTCTTGGCAGTTGAAATTCATTCGAAGCAATATGCCATGCCATGTGGCCTCTTATAAATGCGACATTGCTCTCGCACATTATAAGCTCTGTGAAATAATTAGCCGATCAATTGCTTTGTCTTCTCCAGGTGGTCACGTCCCCAACCTGTGCCGACTCATTCATTCTTCTGACGATCAACAATCAGCTCTGTCGTGCTGTGAGTACAATGGCTTCGCTTTGTCACTGACTGTGCCTTGCACTGTATGCACCTGGCCATATTGACCTGCTTGGCAATGCAACTATATAATGCATACCACGTTTTAGTGTTACCTAACAATCGTTATCGAACCAGTAGTGCTGATAAATTTTGAGGCTTCATAGGAGGCCAAGGGCTTTGCAGTGAGCGATTCAAGGAAAATAGGTACGCGTGGCATGAGTGAAAGAGTGGCACTGGCATTTATTGGAGAGCAAACACAAGCTGGCAAATTTGAAGTGAATTCGAATACAGTGATCTAATATTTGCATAAGCCTAATTGTAACATTGAGTGCCCGCTATGCCTGTCACAAAAACGAAAGTGACACTTCGTTATCATGATCAGTTTTCATGTGAGATGTAATTCCAGTCCCACAGTGGTCACAGCTTTATGCTTCCGGTCGCTATTTACATTTTGTGTGCTTACATAAGTGTCGTACCTGTGTTGCCATCTTTGTTGATGTGTTCCCACCGAGCCTCATAATACTTTGTCATACTCGACGATGTACTTCACGACCCACACATTCACTACACACGCTGCACATCCTTTATTTTCCGCGCCACATCTCTAACATGTCCGACCTCTCCTTTTTTTTACCTTCATCTCTCATTCTTCCACCGTCAATTACACACAGCCCCCGAGAACTGGGCCCAACATACGCACACTCCCTACTCCATCTTATCTCTCACATGCTGTAGAGACAACGCCAGTGATGTACACCGAAGTCCTTACAACACTGCTGAAGCAGTTACTCAGAGGCCGACGACGGCAACCCCGCGATGCTACCAGTTGAGGCGGAAAAGCTTTTGACAGTGCGCCGGAGTGTGTGGCTTCGAATCCAGTGGAATAAATAGTGGTGTTCTGCATCTCAGGACAGTGTTATTTGAGGTGTTATGCTGCTGCTTACTACAAATGTTCAATGCTGTGCATGCCCACGTATTTCTCAATGAACGTATTCTGTGTAGTTGTGTTGACAGAGTAAAGTAGGTGCATATTGTACATAGAGTACGTATTATATGCCATTTTTTTTTTGTGAAAGTCATGAAAGGTAGAGGTGTGCCTTATACAAAGGTGCAAATTATACAACAGAAAATATGGTAATTGAAGTTTTGTGGAAAAGGCCTTTGTCTTACGAGGGACTTTGTCTAAAATGATGTCGATTACATCTGGATTTGCCATGCACGGGCTCTTTCAGGATCTGAGCCTAGTGCATCGGGAGACCGCGGAGCAAGAAAAGTCATCCACTCTGCACAGCCTGGTCGAAGAACTCGTCACCACGTGCTGCTTCCACGAGTGGGCTGGCCTGCTCACTTGACAGGACGCCATGGAGGACTCAGTCCTCCAGAATGCTTTGTCTTTTCCAGGCCACCTCATTTGATTCGGTCAGCGAGAAATGCGACTCTGACGAATCAGCATATGTTGCGCACCTCGACAGCGTTGACTGTCAAGACGCCCAGGCGCTGATTGGTTCCCTGTTGTGTTGGGGTAGGTTGCGGCAGTGTTGTTTTGTGAAATCTAGATACTGCTCGGCCTAATGAAAGGCATGGATTGTACCATGTCGTGTATATTGTCTAACGTGGTGCTTGTGCCAATTAGTCGGGCAAGTCAATTTTGTGCCGATCACCATTTGCAAGCTCAAATCATCTCCAGCTCTCTGTTTGCCCTTGGTGATTGTGTGGCAGTCAGTTGATTAATTTGATAGATCAAGGAAGTGTGTGTTTTAATTTATAACAGAACAAAGCATGGACCTCAGTTGAACAACGAAGTAACTAGCATCTTTGTGGATCTGATTCTTCATGTAACAGATGGTTTATCTCGTCTTGACGTTGCCATGTCAAAAGCCATGCAGTTCCAGCAGTTCAGATTTTATGTGTTGTTTACCTACATGTCAAGGTTTGTGTAGTGATTTGCGGGCGCTTGTAGGAACTGTAGCTATCTGCCAAATGGCCTCTCGGGTGCTGAATATCAGCATCGAGGAACTTCAGTCAGTATTTGGTACACTTTTGTTCAAATCTCTTATTGCATATCGCATTTCTTCTAAAGAATGATTTGGTTTTACTTGGCACCATGGCCTATGGAATAATGCCTACAGAACATTGTTCCATCTAGTGGGACATTTGTGAGAGGTTGCCTTCTGCAGTGCTGTTCAGCTGCGGTGTGGTAAGCTGTCGGTTGAATTTGCGCAGACACCTGCAACACTCCTGTGACAAGTGTTTATTCATTAAATAGCAACCTAGAGGAGCACACTTACAAAACATTTTTTGTGTGAAATCAGCCAGGCACCAATGGACCCGCTTCCTATTGCCCTATTGATCAGCGTATCTGGCACCAATAGTGTGTTCTGTGAACGAAACTGAACTGTATTTTGCGTGGTTAGTTTCTGCTTTTAAGTTCAAAATACTGTTTTCATTTACAAGCCACAAAAAATTGTTTTTTATAGAAGCTTTTATTCAGGTCAAACCTTGATATAATGAGCACGAACACAGCCGAGCCCACTTGTAACAATGTCGGATGCAATATGTCGACAGACAGTGACAAGGGAAACAAGGCTGCCGATTTTTCGACATGCTTCAAATTTTGAATGCCTTCACGGAACCGTCACGAGGCTTATAGTGCCAATGTATGACAAAATCTGAAGCTTTGGACACTAAGTCTTTTTCAAGCCTTGGTTTTTTACTCGAACTGTAAGTCCGAAAGTGCATTATTTACTGAAGCTGTCGCCACTCGCCCATCGTAGCGCATTATGAAAGTCAGCTTTGCCGCAATGCTGCGACACTGTACAGTGAAGCATATTGCAAATTTGAAGGCGCGCTGGGCGATGTTTGGGGTTAATGGCAGGAGTTCAGTAGCTTCAATTTCTTGTTTTCTTCTTTCTTTTCAAGGATTTCACGTTCCATTAGTGTTTTTCATAGACACCTAGCAGCCACAATTCATTGTTATGAGTGATAATGTCGTGCTGAGGCATTATAGTACAGGGGGTTATTTCGTCGTAGAAAACATACAAAAGTTGACGATGCAGCAGTTTCTCATTGATAACAAGATATCATAACCAATATCTTGTTAAAACCGGCATCATTATAAGAGGGTTAGACTGTACAACCAATCATCTGTTTTAATTGTCATTGCTTATAACAAAATAAACGAGTAGTCTTGTCATTGTATTCATTGACATGACTATATATTTCTAATTAACAATTGGTTTTAACAAAGTCATTTTTGTCTCGAGTGCATCTTTCGTTGCAGTGAGGTTTGAACACCTTCTCAGAGGTTTGTTGGCAGTACTTGTGCATCATTCACTGTTTGCATGAGCACATTGTGATCGGCATTGCAGTACAGTCACGATGCAGCAAAATACAGACACTGTGGCACATAGACGTAACACACTAAAATACACTGAAAGCCGGTTGGTCTTCCCACTGTCCTGCAGTGCTGCTTTATGAACGCACCATTTTTTCAGCGCAGGATGCAAACAAGACATGAGGGTGTCATTCTTCACAAGTATAGAATGGCTGTAGGCAATAATTCTAGACTTCACAAGCCTAGAATGGTCGTAGAATAGTTGAAGTTCAAAAGTCGTATTCTCGCTCTGGGCGAGAAACACCAGCACACATGTTCCAATAGAAATTCTATTTTGACATCAAGAAATTGCAACTTGTTGTCCAGAGGAACTACCGACGTGCCATAACTTTGCGACCGCATGTTTCTTGTCAGACTTGGAGATATGAAAATGGTAAAAGAAAAAGGATACCAATTTTTTTTTAGTCCTTGACTGAGCAGTCTTCTTGTTGTCAGCCACGCTGCACTTACATCATTTGTGCACATGGAGTAACAGATTTGTGTTATTATGTTGTGCTAAAACAAGCCGTCATCTGTTGAACACTTATTTTTTTTCTGCCCACTTGCCAAAGCTTTTTTCTAGGAATATTTTCTCTTAATTGTGATAAGAAGTGCCATGTTTGAAGAGAGAGGGGGGAGAAAACAAGGTACACTCAAAGCTCGATATAACGAACCCAGATATAACGAAATATTAGTGATAACAAATACATGAAGAATACTTTTGCAACAAATACAGTGTTAGGAATATACCCTTATAACGAATTTTTGGATATAACGAACTTATTTTCGTGTAGGATGCATTTTCGTTATAGAGAGGTTTGAGTGTAGCTGCATTGTGTGGGTTGTTTTCTGGCAAGTTTCTATTGTCTTGCCACTTTAGGGAGTCTAACTGAAGCCATTGTGTACTCGCAAAGAAAGTCACATGACTAGCTCTCACTCACCTAAAAGTTGATCAGTATTGCATGTTTAATTTCCTTACCTTATCATAATGCCTCTCTTCTTTTGCTTCGTTCAACTTAATCATTAGTAGCTGGTTGAATGAACTTTGTTGATTGGAGTTGCTGAATATAGTTTTGCTATTAGTCGCCGGCGTAGCGAGTCTTCTAAGTGAGTCACTTTGTGTTGTAGCAATAGCAACACCTGAATCATGCGAATGTCAAGTACAGCAGGCTCTCAGTAAACGGAGCCTGAAGAGACCAAGAAAATATGTTCCATTTAACAGGAGTTTCGTTTACTGAAATGTGAACATAGGGGCCGAATACAAGCCCTAAACCAAGCGTTGCAGAGACAATGGCTCCATTTAAGCTGTAGTTCCGTTTAACAGATTTATGTTTACTGAGAGTCTACTACAGATAGTTGTGCCTGTTTTTTTTTTTTTTCTTTTGTGCTTACAGTGACATCTTTATTTCATACCCTTAGTTTCTTAAACATGTTTAGTCTTGCTCATTTATCCTGTCGTAAATTGTCAGCTTTTATACAAATATTGCAGTTTTTGGGTTCTTTTCTGGTTTACTGGTATCTTTAATGTAATTTGTTGGTCCAGTGCATACATTAAATTGCTGTGTGCTGTTGCCAACTGATGTCTGAGATGAACGTAACCAGTTTGTACATACTGCAAGTAAATGGAGATGGTTTATCAGTAAATTGTTTAAGCGCGGAATGCGGTACTTGAAGTGTGCTGTGTACTTCCTTAGGCAAGATTGTCTACTGTGATACTCAGGAAGATGCCTAGTGTAGATTGGCTGCCTTGTGTAGTGTGATAATGCAATCTGAGTTTCGTTGTAACAAAAGTGAAGGCCATCTGCTATGTGTGATGTGAGTGTTAGAAATCATTGGTGTGATCGTATTAGGTGTAATCATCATTGGTGTGACAAATTACGCTGGTGGGTCTCTTGTTTTAGATGACATGAAAGTTGTCTGTACAGAACATTTGAGTGTAAATAACGTTTGTAGTTAGTTATTTTTACTGTGATGGTCTCTTGTAAATATTAGTCCTCTGGGAGGTTTGTTTAAGATGTGTAAAGCTTTTCACTCTTGAATAGTCTTTGAAGAAAGCGTGATTTAGAAATGGTGCTGCCCATTAATTATCCAATTTTTAAGCAGTCGCAGCAATTCTGGTTTATTTTCGAAACGCCTAGTGTCAGTGTTTAGTTACTTCATTGATGTGTTATTTTATTGAAAGACCAAGTACATGTTTTTCCTCCTTCTCTTCACATTCTTGATGCTTCTAACTTCATTACTGATATTGGCCTGCACAGTGCTGCATTTCCAACAGGAAAGTTCGGTCGAGGTAAAGAGACTATAGAAATTTAAAGAATAAAGGCCCGTTGTTGATATGCATGCGATGTACAGTGTTTTGTATGAAACAGTCACTTGATAGGCGTGCGTCTTATCTCCTTGCTGGTAAAAAAGTATTTTTCCACTTGTGTACGCATGCAGTCAAGTTTCAATGAAGGCACCGTTTTACAGGACTAACGTGTCACCATTAGTTCAAAGTAGTGTGAGTCTTGTACTGCTCCAAGTTCATTTTTGCCATTAATAAAGGTGTTTCATTCAGCTGTCATGACTGGATTCCTTGCTTGTAGTTCTGTATGCTTTTGTCCGGTGCCAGCCAGGACATCCAATAGTCATTAACACTCCAACGCTAGCATGTTTGAGATTACTGGTTAGCATGCTGAGATAACATGCTATTACACTCATGATTGTAAATGAGCAGTAATTAAATGAAGACATTAGCAACAAACCAATGGTTACAGAACAGGCACACAGAAGAATATCGCCTCATATAGAATGTGATGTTGTTGGTAATTACCAGCAAAGGCTTGCTTTACTGCTGAGACAGCCATCCTTTCCTGTGCCTTCTTAGTCTATCTCTTGTCCCTGTTGTTACCTCTCATGTTAGCCTGATTGTCTTGCGCCTCCCATGAGCGTGTAGTTGTGCCTCTCTGAATGTCTAGCTCTTCTGCACAGCCCAGCTGCTTTCCTACATTGTGATAATCCGTGATTCTCCGTCAGGTATCATGACACTCAATAAAATCCAACCACTACACATTAGACGCCAAATTGCCCGCTTAGCTTTTATGGAATCCCTAATTAAGTGTAAGACTGGATTATCACCCACTCCATTCATTAGTCCGTCCACCACGAGGAAAACACGACACACACATAGCCACAGTTTATCCCCATTCTTTGCCCGAACAAATACCTTTAAGTTTTCATATTTTCCACGCACGGTAGATGACTGGAATAAATTGCCAGAAAGAATTTTTTAGTGGAAATTTTATGACAGCCCTACACGATCATTTTAGAAACTTTTAATTACTGACGATCGGGTTTTTAGCAATGTTTCTTGAAGTTGTGCATGATTTTCTAGTTTTATTTGGATTGGAAACCCTGCTATGTTTGTGCGAAAAATCGGTTTCACCGTGGCTTGTTTATTTTGTAGTTCTAAGTGAATTCTGCGTTTTGTTGCTTCATTGTTTTTTTGCATTGCATTGTATGTGCGTGAACATTCTTTTTTTCTGCCCGTCCTGCTTGGACCATTAAATTGGTCTGCAGTATTGTATAAATAAATAAATAAATAATAATCCATGCTGCTTTTTTGATCCCATTCCATCAAATGTCGTCGTCTTTGTTGTTTACAATGCCCAGAGCCTGCTTGTGACCAGTATGGTTGGTATAACATGTTGACCAGATATAAATCGAGCACCTTCACCACCTGCATCCAAGCATTGAAATGGTGGCATGGTCATGGCCTGCATCCGGGTGCAGTCGTAGAAGTGGTATGAAGGGTACTTCAAAAGACTTCGGTGCAGCAAAGCAATAGCATTGCATTTACTGAAATATTTTCTATAGGGCACGTTCACACGTCATGTGCGCCACTTTGTAGTCATATTCGCAGCTTCAAGTGAGCTGCAGAAGATGAGTGGACTCACAGGATTGTGCACAGGGGCCTCGGGGAAGGGGCTTGCCATAGTTGTCTAATTGGGGCACAAAGTATGCCCAATACTTTTACTTGGACGTGTGCCATCTATGGTTCAAGTGTAGCGTTATGGCCTTGCAGGTGTTTGAAAATGGTGACTGAAGGCAAAAAGGACCTCTCGTGTTGCATTCGTAGCACTGTTTACTTTTATGCCTGGAAAGCATGGGACCAAGGATGGTCCATTGTGAGCAGTACATTGTTGTTTGATTCATTGCACAGCTTTTCTTTTGGATTAGACCAACCAAGTGGGGTTAGAATGCCTGTGTAAGGTTGGTACAACCTGGAAAAGAATAGGTTGGTCAAGAATAATTTTGTTTTTTTTTTGGGGGGGGGGGGGGGGGAGCTAGAGCTATCTGTATCTTTTGGGAGGTGTTGAGGGGGGTCATACAAATCGCTGCTTGGCTCTGCCTAATGGAGGCACTTTTGCACAGCGATCCACGAGTTGACCTTGATAATGAAGGGCAATGCATTGCATTGCATCGATTTCACATGTGCACCATACGCCGGCAAGCTGTGCGATGCGTTAAATGAATTAGGAGGTTCGGGGGGTCCTCAGCTATCCATTGGACTTGATGAAAAGACATGTTCTACAAACAAAAAACACAGCTGTTAACAGCTCAGCCAGATTTTGTAGTCCTAGTGTGGATTGTGAAGTATAGAAGCAGAGTGCGAACTTACCACATTCTCAAGTGCCCTCTCTTCGTACGGAGGCCCCGTCCTTGCTCATTTTTGTGGGCGAGGTACAAGCGGTATGTCTTCACATATCAGATGGCAGCTATTGGCTGCCAGCTGACGAATCAGCAGAGGCGTTTGGGTCAGATGCGGTTCTTGGCGTGAGGTGTCATCATAAGCCTAAAATTACACAATAGCAACACTAGCGCACTCGGGAATCGTAACAGGAGAGAACGATCACATTCCACGATGTGCATTGATGTGTAGCTGCTTTCCCCCATCTCATCCCTTCCTATATAGCTTCTAGTGCACTTATCAAGACCCGGTAAAAGTGAAAGTGGCTGTAGTAACACTGCTTGTACTTGACAGATTAGAAAAATTTTGCAGCTGTCAATTGTAGAGGCAATGAACTGGCATGAAAGCTTCGATACTCTTTTAAGAATGGTTAAGGGCATTTTGTGTGCAGGCTTCACCTTTCTGTGTTTACATCCACTTTGATTTGGCGTAAACACGAGGTTATGGTTCAAGGCCCCTTCAAAATATGGAATTTTTAATTAGTCATATGAGGAGCTTAACGGAGCACTGCAGAGCCCAAACATTGGTTTATTATATAACGACTGCCTCATATGTAATGCCGTGTCACCCAGTGTGCGATGTAGTGAGTACGTGCTAGCAGGGACCGCACCTGAGAATTTTTTTCCGGTGTTATTAATGTGTACAGTGGCTAACTTTGGCAACTGATGGCCTGTGTGATGGCGTGTATGTACTTCAGTAAAAATTGGAGGGGGGGGGGGGGGGGGTATGAAACCATTCAGCTACCAATGGTTACCGGACTACCTAAAATAATTTGAGCTTTAGCAAAATTTGGATTAAGCTTCTCACTAGATGTATATACTGTAAAAGCACATCCTCACGCCGCAGTTTTGTGAATGTTACTCTGAAATAAGATCGGTTCAAACGGGTGCTACATCGAACGGGTGCTAAACGTAGCCGTGAGCTATCACGATTCGAAATTGCCGCGGGATTTTTCAGCTCAACGGTTCGTCCTTTGCCCAATTTTTTTTCTCTCTAATTTTCATCGATTCGTTACGAAAATAAACCTCGCATGCAGCGCCTTCGGCGGCACGACCAATGGGAGAACGCCGATCTCGCGCACAGGTGGCGGCTCTGCCGCACAGCCATAAACCAATCTGCAGCAGAAATAAGCAAACGCGGTGCGGTGCGCTGCCGTGTGCTACCTGTAATCGGAAAGCGAGTGAACTGCACGCATCTATTGTTCTTGCGCTGCTTCGAGCGTTCGGCGTGTCGTGTACCGTGCTGCGTCGGCATTTGATCACGACAGAGCTGCAGAGCATTACGGCGAGCGCATCGGCTTCAACGAGAACGCGACGATGCACGCAGCGGCAGGCCTAGTTCTGGCTCTGGCCATAGCGACGTGCAGCTGTGAACCTCTACGCAAAGGAGTCAACTCGGTGGAAGAATACGAAAGCTGCGAGTCGCACTGCGAACTGACCTACCCGGCGCACACGTACCCAAAGGCGAGTGTTTTTTTCGTACGGCTAATTCCGTTTTGCAGCGCGCGCCGTTATCGGGCCGTAATATCTCGGTCGCGAGCGAGGGACCTTGTTTACAGTGGTCGTTGGAGCAGCAGCCGTTCGCTGTCAGCTGGTCTGGGGAAGCGCGGTCGTAAGCAACGCAACTAGGTGGGGCCTGGCGATGGGGTTATTTGACGCGTTCTCGTATTGTGTACGCAGCGCTTAAGAGTTGACTCGTTATATAGTGCTTCGAGCTGCCTTTTGTTTTGGTTTTTTCTTGCTTAGCTTGCTCTTTCGGCTGGGGACCCTGTCGTTTCCGAGTGCGACCGGAATCAACTGCCTCGCACCTTTTCCTGCCGCGATCGACTTCGACCGTCGTGCCACGCACACGCTATTGCGCCGAAGTGCCTGCTGCTCGACGCGTGAAAGAAGCGCGATATAGGTTGCGACTACGCGATGCAGTGAAATGGGAGAGAAAATAAAGAGGCGATTGAAAAACAGATGCCGCGAGCGCTTCATAGCAGGCGGCACCCGTACGGTGCGTGGTTGTTGTGGGGACGCAGCGCTTAGCTTGTCGCAGGGCGAAACATCTGTTCAGCGCGAGAGCGCCAGTTGTGTGCTGTCTCTCGAGTGTGTGTGTACTTATATTCTGCGTTTTCGCTTTCGCAGCCCGAGCACCTCGACGCCTGCAAGAAAGGATGTCGCAACTTCGTCGAAGCCGGCTTCCACGCGGTGACCCACGACATGAACGCTACGCACGCCGCCTGCTTCAACGGTACGATGCCACCACCCTAGAAAACACACGGCGCTTGTGTGATTCACACGACACGAAGTTGTTTTCGCCCCGCGACGCGATTGTCGGCGCGCACCAACACAAGACGCGTGTTCCCTCTCTCCGCGCGTCGCCAATCCTTTATCGGTCTCTCGTTTCTTGTCTGACGCCTGCCGCACCGACCAACCGTCGCTGGAGGCGAAAACTGAGACCCGCAAGAAATATGGCATTTCGGACGGGTGCAAACGGCCCGGTTCTAATCTTTCTCGGACGTGCGACGCAGTGAGCACCTCGCTGGTGCAGCTTCGATAAGAAAAGGCTGTATTGATATATATACAAGTGATTGCAGAGAGTTGGCAAGAACGACAGGGGCCTTCGCGCGAGACCTTTTCTTCTTTTCCAGGACGCAGCTGTGTGCTCATGCGTAGCCGAGTCGCTGTGCATTGTTGCGGCCTAGCCGATAGCCGCCTTCTCCTCTAAAACTGCGTCATAGCACGTCCTGTCACTTGTATGAAACAAAAGCAGCTGCCCGTTTTAAAGACAAAGGTCGGTTTCATTTTCCACAGGCCAAAGTTCTGTGCGCTTACGCTTTTTTTTTTTTTTTGCGAGTGTTCTCTTTTTTCTTTTTTTTTTCATTAAACAGGGGGCACAGCTTATCTTATGAAAAGTATCAATGATGAAATAACTGTAAGTTTGCCATTCTAAACGGGTGCAGAGAGCCTACAGTGAGCACGAAACTGCTCATGTTGTTGCTTCAAGTGATGCATCGAATGGGTGTGCTAGATTTTTTTTTTTTTTCTATTGACAAAGCTGACAGTTGCAACCCTTGTCGCATGGTTCGCTAAGCCGGCATCCTAGGCAGCTTTCACGCTTCTTGCCCACTCTCTTTTGAACACAAAGGTAACTGTATAGCTGAAAATTCATTGTCTGTAGTCCTGGCAGCTGTCGTTTCAAAGATTTTAGAACAGTTACAAGCACGTACTTGTGCTTAGCTGCTAGTTCTGCGAAAACAGAAAAGCGGAATTTATACGGAGACTAAGCTAAATCAGTTGAGGTTGATAAATGATTCACCGATACATTTTCATCATCGATGTCATCGTCGTCAAACTAGTATTAGAAGAGAAGGACCAATCCGAAATTGCATTTTTCAGTTTTTTTGCTAAGCATCAGTGCCAAAACACATGAATGTCATCGTGGGTCTCTGTATAGCAATATCATGATGATCTGTATTCTATATTTATCAAGGTGTTGTGCAACAAGCTGCAGTCCTTTTTGTGATAGTAATAATAATTGTTGGGATATGACATGCCAAATGCACATACGATTCGAAGAACTCTTCGGAGCCCCACCGCGGTGGTCTAGGGGCTAACGTACTCTGCTCCTGACCCGCAGGTCTCGAGATCGAATCCCGGCTTCGGCGGCTGCATTTTCGATGGAGGCGAAAACTGCTGTAGGCTCGTGTGCTCAGATTTGGGTACATGTTAAAGAACCACAGGTGGTCGAAATTTTCGGAGCCCTTCATTATTGCCTGTCTCACAATCGTATGGTGCTTTTGGTACGTTAAACCCAACATATCAATCAAGCACTCTCCGGAGTAAACTTAAGACTGTTACACCTATGTTGCACAAAATTAATTTAGATAACTTTAGTCATTCTTAGTGTGCTAGGGTAAACTGAATGCATCTGTAATAATGCCTGTTCTAATTCACACTTTTTGTGAGGGTGCCTTATTTTAATGCCGCTCTGAAATAGCAGTTACAGCAGGTCCTGTAGAGGATGTCGGCTAGCATTATCCATGGACTATATGAGGTTATAAGACCGTTGCTCTTCTGTCATTTATTGCCACCAGTGTAGTTTATGTACCTGGCTGATTAGAGAAGGTTGTTTAAACATTTAAATTTTCATCAAATGTTGTCGGTGCAACATGTACCATATTATTAGGTTATTTTAATTTTTTCCTGCTGTACTCTCAGCTTACGGTAAACGCTGCATGGATACATGCCTGTGCACTTTAGCACCAGTGGGGCCAAACATAAATCATGACAGCTAACTATTACTCTTTACCAAGTTATACGGCAGGACAGCCGAAACAAGCAATCGCAACCATGGCCCACATTCATGGCGTCTCGCTGACACCTTTGCTAAGCCTCTGTCGCAAATTAAAAAAAGTAAATTGGAATATCTGTTCATTTCATCCTCAAATAAAAAGTGCTTCACTAGCGTGAATTGGCTTTAGTCGCTGGTTCAGTATCGCTGAAACGCATGGCAATACTGTATTGCTTGCTTGGTCGTGTCATCAACTTGTGAAATGGCAGGCATCCCACGCTCTATCATGTCTGACTTTTGCACTGTCAAGCACTTCTCTGCTGACGAATGGGAAGGCTGATATAAACTTTATAGAGACAGGAAAAAAACCTACTCAGCGAGCTCGTTTGAAGACTGCCCTTTATTGCACGTGCCTTACCTTGGTGCCATTGTGCACTTTAGTTAAGTTTATTGCAAGTTGTTGTATTGTTGCGATATCGGAGACTCTTTAAATTCTGTCTGGCAGAGTAAAAAATGGGCAAAACAAGGGCATCCTATCTGTCTCTGTGCTGTTCTTATGGATAAGGCATGTAAACAGTTTTTCGTGTTTATTTTCCTCTGCACGCGACATTTATGAATGTTTCCTTAGTGAAACCGCGCATTTGAGTGTACTGTAAAGGACTGTACCACTGCTGCAAACAGCGAGGTTTTACACAGGCTGGCAATGCAAAGAGCAGTACTGCGTCAGTCTAGTCAGCTCTTAGAGTAGTGACAGGAAATAACGAGCTTGTTTAGGTGAAAGCGTGTTAGTGACCTTTTTCGTAGGGCAGTGAATGGCCTTTATTTTTTTTAGTTTTTATTTTGTGGAAGCATTTGTTGCCATCGGGAAGAGCTCCGCAATGTTCAGCTACGTTAAATTTAAACTTTTTGTTCTGGGGATTGCTCTGGAGTTTTGAAATATAAACGAAGTGGCTGTTTTTCAGGCTCTCTCTGCACAGTTTTGAGCGAGGCCTCGGGAAACTCAGTAGCATCTTCGTCTTGGGGTTCCTGTGTTAGGTGGCCATTATTCAACAAGCATGCTTTGTTGTTTCTCAGTAAATGAAAAATGCATTGCATTCTAAAGTAGTGAAGTAGTAATAGTAGTATTAGAAAAACTTTATTATGTACAGGGATCAGACAGGCTAGAACCTTCGTGCCTCGTAAGTAACATAAGGGTAAAAATCAGTCCGTCCGGCTGGGTAGTGCCCCTATTCTAAGGCCCCACTGGCATGAGCCATTCGTTTATCTCTTCGGATCTGTCGTCGCTGATCTTCTAGGGCCAAGCTAGACGGCTCCCATTCGTCCTATGTGCCATTTCTGTCGTGCTCTTCTCCATGCTCTGCACACTCCCACGTAATATCAAAAAGTGTCGGTGTGTCTCCACATCATGGACAGATGTCTCTGTACGCAGCGGGGTAGATCAAGGGGAGAGTGTGCAGATTTATGTACGTGCTTGTCTGTAGCCCTCTTGGCACGGTCGCCTCCATGGTGCTGTGTCTGTCATGTGGAGTAGGATAGATCTATTTTCCCCATAATATTTAAGGATCGTTGCGTACGAAGGGTCTAGGGGAACAGGGTCCTCTACTGCAGAATCTGGGGTGGTTGGTGAATCCTCGAGCCACCGCATCCGTATGCAAGTTCTTAGGTCATGTTGTATTTGCTCATTGTAATACATTCTCAACTTCACTTTCTTATTTTTGTATGGCCAGTGAAGGAAGCACTGCGATATTTTCGATTGCTTCCTTAGCTGATTTTCTTGGTAAAACGTGAAGTTGGTTTTCACTTGGAAAAAAGGCAATTTAAAAATCTGTGTTTGCTCATTATTATTGTAGAAAAACTGGACGGAGATTTCATAAGGCCAGGTATAGGAGAACAAAGCTTTCAAAAGGCATTTATTTTTATTTGTTTAGCGCTCTTCTTTAACACATAGTCGATCTTGTCAATTTTGAGGAACAATGTGTGTTTGTCAGAATTGAGTAAATATGGTACTTTAAATGTTGTTAATAATTTTTTTTCAAGGCATGTTCATTTTTAATGGCCATTCGGTCAGTTTCTTATTCGATCATCTTCTCTTGGGAAAAATGGTTTTGGTATGTTAGAAAGGTAATTTACTAATACAAAAACAATTGTTTTCTGTAGTGTTTTCTTAGTTTTGAATTGCTGTATGCAAAATTTCTGGGCTCAATATTCTTTGTATATCTTTTTATGTATTCTGTTATAAGACTGCTTATTTTAAAAAGGTGGTACCTGACTGAATAGGCAACTCGAGCACTTAAGACAACTTGAATAAAGGACATCAATGCGAGTCTTCTTTTGCTCAGACTATTTAGTAGGTTTCTTTTCTAGTCCGCATCCCTCTTCTCTCAACCTGGTAATGTGTTTGCATTCACCAATGTTTAACATTCTGAAATGAACAGCATTGTGCGCAGTTGTCCTGCATGACTAATGTCCTGCGTGCTTTTTGTGCGAGTTGTAGTAATGGCCATAGTTTTGTTGTTTCGGTTTTGCAGCCTGCTCAGAGGCCTATCCAAGCCAGCCTAGCTATTATGCATGCACCGGAGGATGTGATGAGCAGTTCAGGCACGTTAGTAAAATGGTAAGTTCTGCCAATGACTTGGCAACAAACTGCCGTGCATTCTCACTGCATTACAGCGGGGAACTCCAGTGTAGATTTCACTGCTGCTAAGTGCATTAATGTGATATCGTTAAAGAGCTCGTTTTGCAGAAATTCCGGCATTCTTGGATGGTGAGTGAAAAACCATTATCTTATGCGTGACCGAAAAATCTAGAAAATGCAAATAAGATAAATGATAAAAAATTCCTGGGTCAGAGTGGGAAGCAAGCCAAGGGCGTTTGGGTCCGAGTGGGGATTGAACCCGGGTTGTTTGCGTGGCAAGCAGATGTTCTACCAGACTGCCACGCGTCTGCTTGTGAATACGGTGAAAAGAACTTCTTCTGCTTGGAAATGTAGTGAAAGTAGCCTTCATTCTTTACAAACACACGTGTCCTTTATACATGCTTCACAATGCAACATCAAATATTGCTGTAATAATGTTCGATACAAGCGCCCATTGCCAGCGGGCGTCAGAACATGTGATTTTCATAATGGCTTCATGGTTTAAAGCCGGTAACTCTCTACTAAAATCACACGCGCCAATTTCCTTAAGGTCATTTAGTGTGTGCATAGCAACTTACAAAATGTTTCATGCACTGTGTGTTTGAAGTACTCACTCCGAACAGGCTATCCCTATTGCACTCAACTCTTTTAAAGGTGAAGCTTAAGAGTCCTCTAAGTTTTAAACTGCAGGAAGGCTTCAAAGCAGCTCATTTATGTCTCTGTGTACAAGTAGAGAAAGCTGAGCCAGCTGAAAAATTTTTTTGTGAACAAGCACAGCAGCAATGCGACCAGTTTAGTCCATGTCTTGTAATTTCGCACCTGCTGGGCTGGTTGACCATGAATGTTGTTGTGATTGCTCAGACTGTTGGCCCTTAGGTAATAAACTAGTACAGCAGATGGCTGCATAAATCTAGTTACGCGTGCAAATCTTCGTTGTGACGTGCGTTGAAGTTTTGAAAAGAGAGGAGAATGAGGATGAGGTATGTGTCGCAGTTCGCAAAGAACGTAATTGATATTGTTGATGGCTCCAGACTTTGGTCGTGTTCGTTGTAACACATGGGATGCTTTGAATGTTTGAAGGCCAGAAGTGCTCATTAGAACAGAAGTTTCTAAACTAGTATCTGGTTGAGGAAAACACTGAGCTTTCAAATAGCACCACCATTATAAATCTCCTTTTCAGTAATGTGGCACGTAAAGTGGGACAGTTGAATGGAATGGCTTCTTAAAAAATTGAATAGGGTCAGATTCATAAAATTTATTCTGCAGCAGTGAAACCGCCTATCGTTGTGAAGGTTGGAAAAGTGGGGCGAATAATGGCATTTGTCTATAAAAGACAATCTACAGCATCACGTTTATATATATATATATATATATATATATATATATATATATATATATATATATATATATATATATATATATATATATATATATATATAAAACCGTGAGCAGAGGCCTGCTCACAGCTGGTTATTTTTTCATCCACTTTTCTTTGGTTCTAATAACTTCCCCTGTGCATTCCTTGGCATTACTGTCTGTTAGATCTCATTAATATTGTGTTAAAACACGGAAAAACGAGTCCTTAGGTATACACTTTTTTCTCTTATATATATATATATATATATATATATATATAACACACTTAGGAAGCATAAGAAGTGTTATTATATAATAAGACCTAACATTTGTATTTGTCTTCTCTTTCTTGGTCATGTCTTTTTAACAAGTACTATGCACTTCAACCAACTCACCTACCCCGCCATCCGGCTTTGTTCTTGGTAAAGTCGATGGTAAAATATCTATTTTTACCGAGCCGCAAAATTTTTGATATTAGAACCATAAATGTGTTATGGTGTCTTTAGTTGTTTATTTGCTCACAATGTCAATCATTGCTTGTCCTTGCTACTTTTCCGGTTCTTCTGGCGCGTCTTCAGTCGGAGCAGAAGAAGACATCACACCTGCACCCACTCAAGTTGCTCATGCTGGTGCAGAAAATGTACGAGACGGTGGTGGACCACGTGTGTCGCATTATCCGACGCACGTTCTACGCCGTTTACGTGCAAAAGGACACCGGCCACCTAGTTGTGGTGCGTGGAGAGCTCACGCCCATCCGTATCCTCGACCCGCATGCCGGTGAGCTGTGCATGGTTGACTCATGCGAGCTATAATTTTCGCGTGAAATTTTCCTCGACTATTGTCTATGGCGTTGGGCACAACCAGACAGCGAGATAACACTGCTGCACTTACTTCGCTTGTCTGGAAGGGTGAAAGAAATTTAGCTGTGGAGAAGAGACGCTGCTCCAGCAGCAGGGGTTTTCTCAGTCGTTGCTGTAGCAGTGGTGCATAGTTGTGTTTTGCTGCACACTTACGTCTGCTTGCCTGCCCATTTTCTCATAGTTTTGTCAACGCTGCTGGCCTCTGCCAATCACCTTGTGTGCATTCATGATAGCAGGTTGTTGGATGATTTTCTGTGTGCCACGATAGATGGCGCTACACATTGAATAGTGCAAGCAAAGAAGGAAGCATGGGCAAAAGTGGGGAGTGTGGAGGGAGAGAGCAAAGAGATGGGTCTGACCTTCGTATTCGCATCGCACAGTTTGTCCCTACTATTGAGCGAATGTTTTGTGTGGTGGCCGCGTCAGCACTCCTGTTTTGTCTTATTCTTTGAGTGCAACAAATTGCCATGACTCAGCTCTTCACGCTACCGATGTGTCATCTTCTGACCCTTCTTGCAACAGGTGATCCTGCAGAAGACAAGCCGGCGAAGCCGGCGTCTTCCACCAAGTCGGAGCAAGAGGCAGCTGACGGCGAAGCATCTTCGACGGTGTCTGCAGCGGCCACCAGCTCCTCTTTTAGCTGGCTGGACTGCATCTCTCGCCAGTCGGGCATTCCGGAGTGGCTGCTCGTTATGGTCTTGTTCCTTGTTGTGGTTACCATGGTGTGGCTTTGCTGCGCCACGATGGTGTCGTCTCCCAGTAGCAGCGTGACGTCCACCTCGCCACCTCCTGCCTACTCGCATCATGTGAGTGTTGCTCTGCCGTCCTTACGGTCCGCCACACCAGCATGTTTCTGTGACGCAGAATTCGACATCACAACATTTGGCTTTCAGCGCAAAGTCAAACCTCAAATGACTGGCTTCGAATAAGTGGCCTAAGAGTCTGTTAGATGTGATACATTGTGTTTCAACTTATCTAAGCAAAGTGCTAGTAAAGCTGTTGCTTCTAAACAGCGGCATGTCTGTTTTCAAGGCACATAAACCAATAACGAAAATTCAAACCATGCTACAATGAATGCTGCTTCCACAATATTGCCAGTATAATGAGTAATTTTCAGTTACAAGTCAGTAGTTCATGGGAGTTAATCCATAATTGTGCTCACCACAATGAATGCCTCTTTTTTTTTCTTGCTTTTCCAGTTCTCTGAAATTCGACGATGCGATTCCCGATTCGAAACAACAATTTTTTTTTTTTTTTTTTTATTTACAGATACTGCTGTCTCATGTTTGAGACATTGCAGGAGTGGTTACAACAAACGAACAAAAACGTCACAATTAAATAAAAAATATAAAAATTGCATAATTAGACACCTGTTCAACAAACAATAAATGATCAAGCAAAAGGAACCACTGCAGAATTAAGAACATCAATTTACATAATTGGACACTTGTTCAACAAACAGCGCATGCGGTAGTCGTTTTAAAGTAGCGTCCAGATTATTCCAAGTGTCAACTGTGCACGGAAAAAAAGAGTATTTATAACAATCAATAACACATCTGAATGGCACAATATTCAACGGATTGTATCGGCGAGTCACCTGGGTGGGATGATTGGTGAACGAAATGGGTGTGGCTATGCGGACGGAATTGTGCACGATGTTATGTAGCATGGTAAGCCGATCACACATACGTCTGTGTTCTAAACAGTTTAGCGATAAAGCACGGTAGTGCTCAGAAGGGGAGAAATCACGGTCATAACGGTTAAAAATGAATCTTATCGCTTTTCGCTGGATGGCCTCAAGTTTGTTTATGTCAATTGCAAGATGTGGTGACCACACAACAGACGCATATTCAAGAAGAGGCCTGACCAGTGATTTGAAGGCTATAAGCTTGCATTCCCTTGTGGCGCCCTTTAGCGTTCTTCTTAAGTAACCTAATTTCTTTAGCGATTTTGCAGAAATAAGGTCGATGTGTCTGTGCCACTTCAAGTTTGGAGAGAATACAACACCAAGATACTTAAATTCCTGAACTTTTTCCAGAATGTGATTGGAGTCGCCATATCTAAATTGCAATGGCTCCTTTTTATTTGTAAAAGTTATTGTCACAGTTTTCGGAAAATTAAGCTCCATTTGCCAAGTTCTACTCCATTCGCAAAAGGAAGAAAACACATCATTCAACAAAACTTGGTCAGCGACGCTACGTACACTGGAATACAATACACAGTCATCGGCGTATAGGCGAAGCTTAACTGGAGTGTTAATGACAACCTGAGTGACATCATTAATGTAAATTATGAATAAAAGGGGTCCCAAGACAGAGCCTTGTGGAACACCTGAGGAAATATGAGCTTGTGACGACTGTTCATGGTTGTAGCGAACAAACTGACTCCTCAAATACAAATAATCTGTAATCCAATCAAGTAATTTGTCAGCATTTGGGCCTGTAAGAAGGTTACCAAGTTTGAGCAGAAGTTTTTTATGACATACCTTATCAAAAGCTTTGCAGTAATCAATAAAAATGGCATCGACTTGTTCGTGGTTATTAAGTGATGAGGCGATGTCATGTGTAAATTCGATCAATTGTGTGACAGTCGAAAAACCACAGCGGAAACCATGCTGATGCTCTGAAAGGATACTGTTGTCAGTTAGGTATTGAATAATGTGCTTGTGAATGATGTGCTCGAGTAGCTTGCAGCACGTGGATAATAATGAGATTGGTCTGTAGTTAGAAATTATTTCCTTCTTACCCGATTTGAAAATAGGAACAACATTAGCGATCTTCCAAATTCGTGGGACCCGTCCGGAGTCAAGCGATTTCTGGAATATAATTATGAGGTATCGTGCACACCATTCAGAATACCTTTTCAGAAAAGCGTTAGGGATACCGTCCGGGCCAGCACTTTTAGTAATATCTATGTTGAGTAAGAGATTACGAACTCCAGAGCAGCTTAACTCAATATCCGAAATAGCTACCGATACAGAGGGTGCGACAAAAGAAGGAACTTTACCGTTATCAGTGGTAAAAACAGACTTAAAATAACTATTAAAGGCCTCCGAGATCGTCTGAGCATCTGAACATATTTCGTTTTCTATAATGAAAGAGGAGGTTCTCCTGGAGGGTGGATTAATTGCCTTCCAAAATTTGATCGGATTTTCCCTAATGAACGTTGACAGCGTGTTATTGTAATAGAAATCTCTAGCTTCGTGCATTTTATTTCTGAGTGTTACCTTTAACGTACACAAAGTGAATTGGTGGTTTGGACTAGAGCGGCATCGGCGACGTAGTCGCTTTATGCGGCGAATAAGCTGTATTATTTCTCGGTTATACCATGGGTGTTTAGGATTGCGCTTCACGCATTTGTTTGGAACAAATTTAGATATGCAGTCGGACACAATCGTGCCGAAGTGTTCCACCAACTCATTTACACCACAACTGTTGCTAGAAAGAAGAAAATTTGCATAAGAATCTGCTAGCAGGGAAAGTACGCCTTCATCGTTGGCACGTGAGAAATCAGTAAGAACTTTGTATTCTGGTTTCTTAAGTTCGTAGTGAATAGAAAATTGGACAAAGACTGCATTGTGATCCGAGATACCTTCTACAACCTCGCACTCTGAATCATCATTCAAAAGGTCAGCTGTAACAAAAACAAGGTCCAGGATTGAACCACCCCTGGTGGGACTTTGAACAACTTGAGTAAAATCATGGGATACAGCGAAGTCAATCATTGAATTACAGAGAACTTTGTCACGGCCGGTCGTGGTGAAAGACTCCCAGTTAATGTGGGGTACATTGAAGTCCCCGCATAGGATCAGTTTGCTGTCAAGTAGTCTCTGCTTAACGATATAGTCCGTGATTGCCGATATGCAATGGTCATCTTCACTTGGTGGCCGGTAAACAGTTCCAATCACTATAAACACGCCGCATACCCTGATCTTGCACCAGACAGACTCTGTTTCGAGATCAGGCAGTGTTGTATATTCAATGTCGTTTTTGATAAAGAGCGCAACGCCACCACCTCTACCAGTCGACCTGTCTTTTCGAATGACCGAGTAACCAGAGGGCAGAAATTCGTTTTCAGAGATGGATTCATTAAGCCAGGTTTCAGTGACGCATATAATTGATGGACTATGACACTGTACTAGGCAACTGAAGTCAATCAACTTATTTACAAGGCTGCGGGCGTTCAAACACAGAAGCGTTAGGTTTTCTGATTCGTTGTGTCTGGTGTCAGTTCATTGCTTTCTTTGCCTTCTTTTTGTCTTATCTCTGCTATCGTGCACCGGGATTCTCTCGTCATGCGCATCATCCCAGGTGAATAGTTCTTCACCAATCTTAATTTTGTTCGAGATTAACTTTACCTTCTGACCCGCCCTCCGAAGTTCCGCAGTGCTTTGCCATAGTTTCTTGCGTGCTTGCCTTGTAGTAGGGGAGTAGTCTTCCGATACAGAGTAGCTACTGCCCTTTAGTCTGAAGCAATGTTTTAGTATGTTTAATTTCTCACGGTGATCGAACAGTTTGATAATAACCGGTCGATGCTTGTTAGGTTGATTCCGACCCAATCTGTGAATTTTTTCTGCCGAAGTAACTTTTATACCTAATTTATCAGAGAACACTTCCTTCAACACAAGCTGCGACAGTTCTTCATACGTTTCCTTTGGTTTTTCAGCTATACCAAAAATAATTAGGTTGTTACGCCTGCTGTAATCTTCTAGGTCAACAAGCTTTCTTTCCAAAACTGTAACTCGTAAATCAATGTCATGCGTCAAATTCTTGATTTCATTTATCGCAGATGTAGCTTCATCAACTTTCTGCAGTTTGACCTCAATATCCCCCAGCCTTTGTTGAATATTTTTCTGGCCCTCAAGTAGTTCAGCTAGAACCTGCTGAGTGGTAGGCCCTGGATTAGGCTCGACGTCACCACATAGCATGAGTAGCGACAAGACGAAGTCACAGGCAGTAAAGTACATTTCAATAAGTCTACGTGGGCACGTCAGCTGGACAAGGCAAATGTCATTAGATTTAATTGTGGAAGCATTGTTACTAACCTGCATGAAAAACAGGAGCGGATTTAACATGATGCTCGCTGGATGCCAGCCGACGTGCCCACTGAAGAAATCCGAAGGAAATGGGGCGTTTATATCTTGGCTCGTTGTTATCGACGAGGTTGCGCACGGGTGTACCCACTCGGTGCCCAGGCTTAGGAATTCCTCCGCGCAGTCTCCATGGATTGCTCGTGAAACAGGCGTAGATACCGTGATCGCTGTGCTGGCTTCGGTAGTCGAGGCGATCAGAGCAAGCTGCATGAAAAACAGGAGCGGATTTAACATGATGCTCGCTGGATGCCAGCCGACGTGCCCACTGAAGAAATCCGAAGGAAATGGGGCGTTTATATCTTGGCTCGTTGTTATCGACGAGGTTGCGCACGGGTGTCCCCAGTCGGTGCCCAGGCTTAGGAATTCCTCCGCGCAGTCTCCATGGATTGCTCGTGAAACAGGCGTAGATACCGTGATCGCTGTGCTGGCTTCGGTAGTCGAGGCGATCAGAGCAAGCTGCATGAAAAACAGGGGCGGATTTAACATGATGCTCGCTGGATGCCAGCCGACGTGCCCACTGACTTCTTTCAGTAAACACAGTCTCTACTATTTTGATGCATTTTGGAACATAAAAATATTGCTACAGAGTTCAACTTGAGAAGCGCATGACGGGGGGCTAGTTGGTAAGACACTTACGAAAATTATAACTGTGCTAAAAACAAGACACGAGAACGAAGTAGGCAGGACGATTGCAGACTAACTGGTTTATTGGAAAAGTACACCAGCCTTTTCGAAACTAAATGCATGCACAAAGACAAACATGACCACGTGACCTGTTCCAAGACTCCTATCAACTATAAGTGAAATCTCGCTCTTTGCTGCAAAAATGCATGGATGAGTCACTGACGCACTTATCAGGCCCTTGTCTAGCTATCCAAGATGCCTCAAAGACCTCTCTTGCTCTTTGGCTCGCCCTAACGCCTTGGTACTGCTGAAGATGGGCTTGCATCCCTGCACACAATCGCCACAATAAACTGGTAGATGCCTCCCACTACCGTCTCCTATAGAATTAGCATGCTCCATCAAACGCATACAGTCATACCCTGTCACACCGAACGCCGCTTCAACGAAATTTTCACTGCAGCGAAGAATTCTGGGTTCCCCTTCATCAGTCCATAGAAGTCTATACATGAATATTCTCGCCACAATGAACACTTTTTCTTCTGCCGTCCCACTTAAACGAAATTTTACGGTGCAATTCTATGCTCAGATATTTAATTCTATGCTGTAAACACAATCTTTAACATTTTGATGCATTTTCAGAGCATGAAAATATGTTGAAGTCTAAGAAACACACCGGCACCACCAGAAACCGCCGTTATTTACCAAGCATTGGTGCCGCCATTGCTCGATAGCAATGGCAGCAAGGCTGCCATGCCTTTGCCACTGGCTTGCTTTCGAGCCACAGGCGATTCGAAGCTGAAGCTTTGTCACCTAGTTCATGACTGCTGGGTGAAATCGCGGAATGATGCCTTTTCCGATGCCAATGCTTATCATTCTGTTTGCGCTTAGCCAGTTTGGTATCCAATCAGAGCGGCTGTTCGTTCGCATTATCATGCTAATTCTATAGGAGACAAGAGTGGGAGGCATCAACCAGTTTATTGTGGTGCATGTGTGCAGGGATGCAAGCCCATCTTCAGCAGTACTAAGGTGTTAGGGTGAGCCAAGAGCCAGAGAGCAAGAGAGATCTTGGAGGCATCTTCGATAGCTAGACATGGGCCTGATGAGTCACTGACGCACTTTGTCGGTGACTCATCCGTGTATCTTTCCAGCAAAGAGCGAGATTTCATTTTTAGCTGGTGGAATTCTTGGAACCGATCATGTGGTCATGTTTGTCTTTGCGCATGCTTTCAGTTTGTTTTAAAAACGGGTGTACTTTTCCCCATAAACGAGTTGTCAGTCTGCGATCGGCATGTCCACTTCGTTCTCGTATCTCGTTTTTAGCGCAGTTATAATTTTCCTAAGAGTTCAGCTTGAGCCCTGTTATTACTGCTGGCTTGAAATCCTCGGCAACAGACATTTGCCCCATCATGAGTTGCCGAAAAATGTTCAAGACCCCCTAAGGCCCCGCTGCTTCAAATAAAGCTGAAGCCTTTCCATAAAATACATGGTTTCAGTCGATCTTGGGATGACTATAGCCATTTTTTTTTTTTTTGCGGAATAGGTCGTAGCATTTAATCGCAACATGCGGAGGCGAGCTGTGCTTGTTGCTATAGATGAATTCCATCAGATGTACGTCAAGAAAATGTGGTGGCGCTGTTATCAGGTGTTTGGTTTCTCGTGGTAGGCAAAAGCCGCTGCGTCTACAGCAGTTTCCGCTGTGTTTTTACTGGTGCATGCGCGGTTTGTTGCCGTGCAAAGAAGGAAAAAAAAATGGTTTACCGACGAGCTGTCATGGTGATTTGCGTAGGAAGGCACAAGAAAGATGGGTCATGTTACAAGAACCGTCGCAAAAAGGTTAGCAGCACGAAAATCTGCGTTCGACGCTGGTTCATCGGTTAATGTTTTAGAGCAGCTTACCAAGCAAAAACGATTAGCTCTGTGAAGCATTTGTCATTGTAATGTGCAGCACTGCATTTTTTGGAATAAGCCTTGTGTGGAGGTATAGAGCATACTTATCTTTACGCGAGGAAATGCAAAGAATTTTTTTGCGGTTGCCCTTATTGATAGAACTGCAGAAGTCTTAGACGCATCCAAATAATTTCACTGTACTCTCGTGAACTAAAGCTGTCACTTAGTCGTGAAGCATGTGTTTCTTTCTGCGTGGACACGGTTAATAAAAGCAGCAGCGAACGATAGGATGACTTTGACTATGCTTTTCCTGTTTATACGCGGCTGCGATGACACACCTGAAACAAGTGTGTCGGGCAGGGTTGTTCTGGTTGCAGTGCGCTTCACAAGCTTTTCACGTATGTGAGAATTCACGGCAGTAATTTGGAAACTTGCCGAGTCTGTTAACGGTGCATACGCATTTCATGGCCTCGACTCAAGCGTTAAAATGGGACCACTGACCTGAAAGGTTTGTAACTGCATTATCCCCAGCTTGTAGTTTAAGTGTTATCGCAATCGTGTTGAGAATGAGTGTCGCCTAGATAGCCCCTGGTCGTTTGCATGAGTAACTTCTTCGGCCCATTTGTTATATGCGAAGATTCACCGAAATGATTCTTGGCTATGCATTTTTACACCACGCATTTGCATATCATAACCTAGAGCTTCTTACTGCTTGCATTAGTTAACAAATTAAAATGTACACATAAGGCGTTTGGCTGCCTCCACGGCGATGACATATTTTGCAAAGTTAACAAAGTAGCATGTACACATGTGACGTAGACTTCTGCGGCGATGACATTTCGCAAATGAGCCACATTTCCACCCTTTTGATACCTCATGTTTTGATGAGGTTGCTAAAGCTAGAGGTACACATAAACAAGGATCATGTGTTCATTTCAGAGCCCCTCTTGCAGCCACTGCGACTACCTCTGTTGTGGCCGCTGCTTGTAAGCATGCGGGAGGAGTCCCGACACGCCGTGCACGGAGGCAGCTTTGTGTCTAAGTATTAGTGTGTTTAACATGTGTATGTATGAATGAGGTTTTGCTGTAACAGCAAATAAAGCTGTCATACTACTGAATTTCTGTATCTTGACATGGTGTCTTGTAGGTGTTTTGTGAAAGAATGGACATTTTTTCCCAATGTGATTGAATGAACCTCGTGCTTATCTCTCACAAGGGAGGTGTGCGCACGCCTTAGCCAGTCAGGTACAGTAAAAATGCTCATTCGTTTATAGAAGCTCGTACAAGATCGTGCCTCTTGGCGATGCAAATGAGGTAGACTCTAGAATGCTTTAGCGTGGTGCAGCATTCTGCACTGGCACTCGTAATCTGTGCACATTCCAATCATAAGATGCTGAAATGGCACCACGGTATGTTCAGTTGGCTATACGAGAGTTGATGCGTTGTCGCAATTCTGCAACCTTGTCAATGATGCATGTTGAAGTGACCAGCAACCTCTCCCAACAGAAAATGGGCGTCAGCGGAGACCTCGACTACCTGCTCATCTATGACCCATCCGAGCAGGTGAAGATCCAGCCACCGGTCGACCAGGAGGCGCCACCGCTGCCTGTCAAGGTCCCTCTGAGCCAGATCTAAGCCGAGACGAGGCCAAGCTAGCACTACCGCCACCATTGCAGTTGCCGCCTCCTCACACACCTTTATTTTTTTATCTCACTACTCACTTCCTTTTTTTTTTATTAATTCTGTATCTCTGTTGCATTGTCACGGATTGCATCAGTCGATCGACGTGTGTTTGACCCTTTCGTCTCTGGACAGTTTTTGCTGTTTGAGTTGTTTCGGTTGTTCTACAGCTTGTTGGGCTCTCGAAGAGCCACATGTGAGATGGGAGACAAGTGTGTTGTCACCTTTTGTAGGAAAGTGCAGTGGCATCTGTCCCTGTGCTATTCTACTGATGAGTGAGATTGTTGGCAGAGACAATGCTGTATTTTTTTTTCTCTATTGTGTAACATTTGTGTATAAGCATATGCTTTTTATTTACTTTAACTTGAATTTCTTGGTTTGACAACCGTCGTTAAATCTGTTTGTGAAATGCCGTAGTGCAAAAAAAGCAGTTAAAGGTTCGACTGTTATCTCCGTTACGTATTTTCTCGTACAAACTTTTTCTAACAACTTGTAGTTTTGCTCCAGCCCTTCAGAGTTGTTAATTTTTCCGCACGTTTATGTAGAATTCTCTCTTACACAAAACGGCAAAGCCGAGATCCGCTTCACTTACTGAAAGCCTTTTGTATTTGCCTCCGATTCAAGAAGTGTTAATACCTATAATAAATTTGAATAACTTAGCTTGCAAGTGAGTTTAAGTGCATGTTAGAAACATTGGCTTACTCTACCGTATGCATACACCTTTTAAACTTGCTATATTACGTGCTTTATCACAACTTGCGGTTCACTTGCCTTTCGAACGTTTCTGCGATTAAGATTTTATTCAATATTCTATTGTGCCATGAGCGTTTCCCTTGGCCAGCCCTAGCCTCTTAAGTTAAAAGAAAAAGGGGGTGTTGTTATTTTGGTTGTGTTGTTTTAATTGCTCTAATAAGAGTCTTTATAGTATTTTACATTTGTTGGAACTTTTAGTTAAACAAACATTACTAATACTGCTGTAATTGGTGCGTATCCCAAACGCAAAAAGCAAGCAGCTTTTGTTATTACCCCTTCCAAACCATATGCCGATCTTGCTTCGTGTATTTCGAGAGTACAAGGCAGGATGGCTTTATTCGAAAGCACAGGAAAAGAAACTAAACTGGTCAGCCCATTCAGTGTGGAGACATTGTGGAAGCTTACAAAGCTTAGCTCAGTCTATCGCCTCCTGCTCATTTTTGCTAGGGCACTGAAGTTAGTTTGGAACTTGCATCCTCAAGCTTTATAGTTTGATATGTAGTACTGTTTTTGTTGGCTGTTTTAGGATGGTGCTTTGATATGGAACAGAACTCTTGTAGTGCGTGACTGTTTATCTCCTCGAGCAGCCTGCATTTTGTGTGCAGCACCTGTCACCGAATGGCTGGGCGCACAGCGTTGCTTGCAAAGTGCTTGCACGGCAAGCTGAAGCAGGTTGCAAGTGATTTTTACGAGTGATTTTTCCTTGCTTGAATGTAGGCCCTGTGAAATCCTGTGATTGAGGTTCAGCTTTTTAGACTGATCAATGCTCTAAACAACCGTGACTACATGACAAGCCCGAGGTAATAGAAAGGATGAAATTCCTTGCATTCATACGTGGAACAGAATGTCGGCGAGAAGTGTTTTCTGTATAATGTGTAGGGGGTGGGGGGCTGTTTAATCTTGCTTCAAATACTGCTCGCCTCACTGACAAATTAGGTTTGTCTCGCAGTGTATTATTCAACATGATGGGCTAGTTTGCCCACCATTAGCTATTCGCGCACGTTTGAGCTCTCTTTCCCAAATGATAAGTCATCTAGTCGTTGAACATTTACTCGATTCGAGAAGCAGAATAAAAGGAAAACGGTGGCCATGCAATACAGCATGTGCCTGCTTTTGCATCCGGTTGCATTCAGCAGGCCCTTTCGCACTCGACTATTTCGAGCAATTGTAGGTTCCCACATTGTGATATATATGTACACATATAGCAGTGTTACATGCCAGGTTACACATGTACTGCGTGTTGTTTCCGCTCACATTTTTGGAAAAGCTTGATGATGCTGCCGCTTCTCTTCTGTTCGCATCAGCATTATCGTGTTCTTTTTTTTTCCTCCTTTAAATATTGCACCTTTGAGGGACGTGGGCACACGTAAAAGATGAGGGCAAGGGTTTTGATTGCACATTGTATGTAGTAAAACGTGTTTGCAGTTGTCTACACCCAAAAACGTGCACATTGTCGCATCAGTTATCGGAACTTTTTACCTAATAATTCCTTCAAGGTATTGAGTGGGAAAACATTGTTGGTGTCTCCGAGGTGGACTCGCGTGATGGACAAGTCTGTGGGCGTATAAGTGATGTGGTTGAGACAAATCTGTGGTTCTCTAAGTTACGGAGTATTCTCAATGCGCATATAGTGGGTGTTCTGTATTATGGAGAGTAATAGCATCGCGTTTAGTTACGGAGTCCATTGTAACTAAACGCCTCCGTAAGAAAGACATCAGAGAGTTTGGTGTACCATATTTAGCAGGCCCATTCAATGGGAACCAGCAACCTAAGAGTAAACCAGTAGTGCACAACTGTCTATGCTGTGCTATTCAGCGTAAACTATGCTGTGCTCCACTACACATCAGACATTTGATGAGAAATATTTCCGTATCTTTGAAAGCCCATGGTGAAAACTATGCTGTGCTGTACATCAAACATTTGACGAGAGATATTTCCGTATCTTTGAAGGCCCATGGTGAGTTTCCCATCAATTCAGCCTCTGAGTGCACGACCTTCATATGATTGGTCTATAATGTGAATCCACCATTACATGTTGGAATGTCACATATGCACACACGCATGCTCTTATGTTGCATCAGTTATGAACATGAAGCATTGTTTATGTGAGCAGCGATATTAAAAATTGGAACGTTTCAATTGCATGCAGCATTGTTGGCTGCATGAATCTTTAGATGTCCCATTGCTGGTCGCTGGAAACCACCATCGCTGTGTCACTTGCGATTGGCTTGAAATTTTTCGTAAGATGTTGTTTAACATCGGCAACGGCTGCCCAGTCCTTTTTACTTTAAAGCCGTTTGTCTTTCTACGGAAGAGCTTGTGTGCGTCACGAGAACATTTAGCCATTAATTCTGCATCGTCGAGTGTTTTCTTGTTCAAGTGCAATCTTTATTAAAGCGACTGTTTGTTTTACTCCTACTCTTGTGGGCAGCGCATGTAAGCTCATAGATTGGTTAATAAAATTGGATTTGGGTATCTGATCGCTTATTGTCACAATGTGTCGTCTCTTTTTAAAGAGACACTAAAGGCAAATATTAAGTCGACCTTGATTGTTGAAATATTGATCCAAAAACCTCGTAGGGCTAGTTTGATGTGCCAAGGAAGTGCTTATTTTGAAATGATATCTCATTTTAATGGCCCACATCTAGTTAGTGCACTTCAAATCACAGGCACGTGAAAGCAAACTCTTGGACGTCATCGTTTTTGTGCCCAATGTGGCCTGCCTTTACTGCACGGCCACCGACACCGGTTGCAGCAGAGCGAAAGTATCGGTAGTCAGAGTAGCAACAATGTCCATTGAGCAATTTTCTGCAATCTCGGAGGCCATAATTATGCTTGCTTGGTTCAACTGGGCCTCCGTTATATGGCACAACCTATCTCCTAACCAGCCAAAATCTGAACTTTTGAACTACTCGCGCCATTCCTCCTAGTAATGTCAGGCGGTACTTTTTTCTGTAAATCAAACAAAAATCAACAAACAGCATTTTATTAGGTCTCTGCATGCATGGAAAGCTTTATTGCAGCTAGTTTGATTACTAGTGATTAATTGTAGGCGGACACTGTCGCATCATCGGGATCATTTAGAAACTATCTCGCTTGTGCCACATGTCGGGGGATACATTCGGCCTACTTTCTTGGTAAGTAAGTCACTGCTAATAATAATATTGCCACTTTAGACGTACATTAAGCTTTTACAAATATTCTCTTTTGCCTTTAGTGTCCCTTTAATATGTTATTGTGATTGCCTTTAGATTCTTTTTCTTAATATCCTGCCTATGCAAGGAATTGCTTGTGTGTGGTCGGGGCGAATGGCAAATTCTGCATGCATGCAAGGTGTCCCTATTGTAGCACACATGAATTGTATTTGCAAGAGCATTAAAAAGAGCTCATTTTGCAGGAATTTCGGTATCGGCGTGATCTTGTCCGTAACCAAAATGTCTAGGGCTCCTGTAAAATAAATAATAAAAAAAACGCCAGGTCTGCACGGAAGGTGCAGCACAGTCGCAGCGAAAGCTAGAAGAGCGGCCTTTCAAATCCTCTTCAGGTTCTTATGTTGCCTTCCGGATGCGTACTAAGCTTTTCACCAGTTCCCAAAAGGAAGAATGGTGACCTAGTGGGCACCTAACTGTTCTTCAGTCGACATTCTGGAGTATTTTGAAACTGCCGATGTTACGCCTGCAGCCGTTTATTTCCTTATGGCCCGGTTGATGCAGGCACCGAGAGCCAAAGTAGGCTGGCGATTGAGAAGGCAACGCGCACGGGCTCTATTACGCTCCTGCGTTCTACTCCAAAAGGCTAAGCCTAAGCATCCTCCAAGTTTTGTTTATTGCAATCGGCAGTATGATTTGAGCACTGTATGGAGGGCAGTCGATTTTGTAAATTGCAGTTACTGTAGAAGGTCTCGCAACGTCAGTCATGTTGAATGATTTGCGACTTTATATCTAAGCATGTGCTGGAAGTCTATATTTCTGCTACACTGGCATTCACTTCGATCTGCAAAAAAAAAAAAAAAAGAAATTTGGTAGTTTGCTTTATCATGCATTGATAGTGAAATCAAAGCAAGTTTTAAGACACTTGCTTTCTTTTGTGGTCAAGCTAGTGGAATAGGATGTCATCTTTTCTGTATAACATCTTGCTGTTTGTGCTACTAGAGGACAGGGAACAACAATGCTAAGATGGACATTACAATACAGAGTTGACCCCCAGTGAGTATACAAGGCTGATTCTAGTGGTTTGCCATATTTTATGTCAACGTGCAGTTCTTAACAACTTCCCTTTAATGAGAGAATTCACATTGTAAATATGATTAAAAATACATTGTGCTTAGGTGCAGCACGACAAGATGACGCTACTACTGTGAATGGCAAGTTAATGGAAAGCTAAAGCTATAACATGCATAATGTCGTAGTGCAGGATGCGCATGCCAGCAGGGTAAGTCTTGAGCAGTAACTTAGCAGCGGCAGTGCCAAATTCAGCTGATCATGATGGTGTGCCCAGATGCTACCTTCAAATTAATTAAAAAGCAGCATTGAAAGACCATTTTATGAGGCCAGAATGATTTTCTGTTTGAGCTACTATGCATTAGTTAGCTGAGAAGCCTTGCATTCCCAGAGTTGTGGTCAAACTTTGATAGTTGAATAGCAAGAAGTTACAGTTGTTCAGCTAGTCAAGTTGACAAAATGATTTCCAAGAGCCAGTCTGTGTGAGCTCCTTCATCGCACTAAAGTGTGCAGAGCTTAACATAGGGTGCAATCAGCAGTAGTATAAATAGGTCAGTTTTAAGTCAGTGCTTGTGTCATGCCTTCTTCGTCTTGTGTGTGGCTCAATTTCACACTGTCTTTTCTGTTTTAAGTAGATACCAAGTAGTTTATGTGCCATACCGAGTCGGTCATCAATTGAATGCATACCAGCCAAAGTCAAGTCATCACTGATTCTTTTCCTTGGTGTTTTCAGATTGATGTGGTAAATATGGGTGTGCAGAGTTTTGCTGCTTTCTCATACGAGAACCCGTGTTGTGCTCCTTGATTGTTTTTGCCTTGATTTTGTTGATGCACTCATGGTGAGCGTGTGGTGTCTCGTACACCTCATCGCTGTTATTGCTTTCACTGATTACATTCTGAGAAGGCTCAAGAGCATCTCTGACGAGCAACATGCGGAACGCCGGTGTGCTTTCAGTACGCCTCATGTTGGGCACATGGACAAACAAATGGCCTTCCACTAAGCTGTGCAAGGCTTGAAACAGCAAAGCTGGACAATTTTGAAGTCTAACTGGTTGTTTAGAGGCTGTTCCTAAGCTTTAGGTAGGTGATGCTAAGTTGTTGCTAGGCTTTAGCTAGGTGATGCAAATGGGTTGCGTGAAATCCCGCAAGGTGGCGGGAGGGTCAGGAAAGAGAAAATCGACAACCACCCATTTGTAGCACCAAGCCACAAGGAAATTCGGATCTGTTTGTGACTTTCCGCAACAAACAAATTGCCCGTTTTTCTTTTCTTTAACTAGGTGATTAGGCTGTTTTTAGGTTGCCACTCAGCGTAACAGGTCGGCGAAAATTGTGGAGCTCACTCAAACTCTCTCATGAAATATATTTTGCGCTTAGGATTTGCTGAGACTCGCCGAGACTCGCCAAAATTTTATCGAGGCGGACTAGCTCTGAACTCGGGCTCACCACGATTTTCTCCAACCGGAGTCACTCGGACTCAAACTCACCAAAACAGTATTCACCTGTACTCGCGGCTTGATCTGAGTGAGTCAACTCGAGTCCTTAAGTCTAGAATGACCTTTTTAGAGTACGGCATCAATGCTCTTTAGCACTAATATCTCCCGTAATCAGTACGTACTCTTCTTGAAGCCTTTTGATATAGTACCCTTGAATACGCGCTATGAGTGGTTGCAAACCAGCAAGGACATTTTCATTGAAAGAGGTGACAACATAAAATATATTTCTGAGAAAGCTCCCAGAAGAATCGGTGGACGGGGATTACATCGCGCCCCCCTTCGTAATTCACTGCCCTAATAAATAAATATTGAAATAGTGTATGAACGATATTGTTTTCGAATACTTGTGAATATACGTGAGTATAAGCATGAACGCTGAAGATGAGTAGATAGGACCGTAAGTCGGTAAAATTGAGCGAAAGTCACTCGGACTCATTCAAGAAATATATCTTGCCCCTTGGACTCGTCAGATTCAAACTCGTTTCCCCGAGTCGTACTCACACTCAATAAAATTTTCTTCCACCGGACTCACTCAGAATTAAACTTGCTAAAGTGTTACTCACCCGGACTCACTCAGGCTCGCGGCTTGATCCGAGTTTGAGTGAGTCGACTCTTGAGTTAGTTAGCCGACCGAGTGAGCGTACAGAGGGTCGAGTTAAACCACAGACAGTTACGACACAACAAGGATATTCAGATTTCATAGTTGACACTCTATGTTTGTGCTGAAAGTAAGTGTTTGCAACTCGCATTGATCGGGCAAGTTGAAGTTGGCAGACACCTCTCATCGCTTCAAGGTTGTCTCACAGCTGCTGTTGCCTTTCCTGTTCCCTTGTATTCTCTCATACGTACCGCTGTAGCACTCTGTGCAGATGCTTTAGCAAAGCTGGAACGTGTGGCCATGGTGCTTCTTACTGGGTTAATACCAATGATTTATTAAAACTTTTTTTCATTAACTGGTTACATTTGTCTAGAAATCTAATTGGTGCTTTCCACCCATCAGTTGCCTTTATTTTTAGAGGACCATTGGAGGGCAGTAGAGCCAAATTTCTGCGGCACATGCCCATTCATGAAGGTGTTTTTTGTACACATTTGTACTGGCCAATTTTTTAGGTTCAGCTTAAGAAGCTTCACTGTTAAAATGTAGTTTAGTGAACTGGAGCAACGTTAGTGTATTTAGCTTTTTTTTTTCTTAACTTTATGGCATGGCAAATACAATATGGATGCCCAGTTCATCTACTACAAACATTACCTCTGCAAAGGTCAGCTCAATTATTTATTAAGTAGTAGTGCTAATGAACTCGCAAGTGTTTTAATATTCTTTGCTAAAACTGTTGCTTGGGCGAGTTGGTTCACGATTGTTTAGACAGATTATCAGCGCAAAAAGACGGAACTTTTAGAGAAGAAACACACACACACACAGCACTCTGTGCGTGTTTCTTCTCTAAAAGTTCCGTGTTTTTGCGCTGATAATCTGTTTTAAAAAACATTCCACCATCTTTTTTTTTTTTTCATGCTGTTTTCTAGCCCATTCATGTATGTTGCACTTTGTATCAGCAAAGGTCAAGTGGTGAAACAGTGCATGTTTCCCAGAGGTGGAAAACTCCTGTTCACTTAAGGTGTCACTAGAATCAGGTGGTTTATTAAGGTGTTTGATAATTATCTTTATTGATCATTTCATTGAGGGCACATATTGTATCGGCAAAAGTCAAGTGGTGAAGCAGTATGCACGTTTCCCAGGAGAAAATGAGATGGCGATCCATACCGGTT